AAAGACCCAATACCTCTGACCCTTTGGGGTCTCTTTGAATCTTCTACAGGCATCTGAACAAGATTTCTTCAGCATATCATATTACAGCATGCCAAGGTGACATGCCACTTAGGCAGATACTTATACCTTCTGCTAATCTGTGAGATACATTTGGCCCGTGAATCTGCAAAGTGCCATATTTTATACATCCACAATAGAGACAGGAAATACCAGCCTTGTCAAAGCAGCTGATCAGTAAGAACTAATACCCAAATTCTATCTTATTTCAATTACAGTATCTAAATTATAATCTGTCCCCATCATAATCTATTATGCAATACACACTATTCACCCTCCTTGGTCCCCTGTGGTGCATGCACAATGAAATACCTGTTCTTACATTTCCTTTATGATCTCTCACTTGTATCTGATTAAAATAGCAGAGAGATTCTATCAGAGCTTTCTAAACTTTCATTCAGTACCCTATTTCTATTTGTAAGTAGATTTTTAAAAATATTTTTAGAATAGATTAATTTTCGTTCATACATTCTTTAAATCTGTTGCAAAATTTTTGTGATCAAACCTAAAAAAGTTAAAAGGACAGACTTGGACCTGTTGACACAGAATGTAAACTGAATGTTAATGTAATTCATTATGTAACTATGTGATTAAAGGGGGATTCCACCTATTTTTGAAAATTTTTGCATAAATACATCATAAATACATACACGACATCATGTAGGTTTGACATCTGAAGTGTTTAATGCCTCTAAAACTCCCTCACAGTAAGTTATTACATGAAATGGGTATGAGCATGCTGCCTGATGCCTGAGACCCTACTAAGTGATAGTTTTCCTCTGTGTTTTTTTTTAAATACATTTATGGTGGAGAGGTACATGCAGGATGCTGTAAAGAAAAATAGTACCCAAAGACACACACACACACACACACACACACACACACACATATATATATATATATATATATATATATATATATATTTCAGATTTACCACTATTTTACCATCATCAATATTACACATAAAACACAGAAGATGTGTATGTTTACTGGTCATTTTGGGTTAAATGGCTATATTTGTGTTGTAGACATTAGCTGTGAACAATTCTGACTCAGTAAGTTTCACTAGAATAGCACATTTCACAATAAACCACCTTCAGTGGTTTTGTTTATATCTCACCTATTGAATTATACAAAATTAAAAAAAAAAATGCTGGAATTACCCTTTGTGTAATTATGTTATTGCATATAGATAATTATCCAAGATAAATGGAATTTATAGCAAAACTACAATAATGACTCCCCTCTAAAGCCTTTTAAAGGCAAGAATAACAATAATAACTCCTTCTAAAGCCCTAAAAAGTTTAACATCACTATATCACATACCCTATCTGAGGTTCAGTGCCCTGCTTTCTGTCCACTCTGGTCCCCAGTGTGTAGGACTTGATTACCTGCTCCTTGCCCCAACCATCACACACTAAACACACACCAAATCAAACAGCCATCATGCTCCGCTCTAACTGCCAGCCAGCTATCTGAACTAAGAGCCTTTATGTGCTGTGGATTCTGTGGCTTTAGGGCTCAGGCTCATGCCCCATGCTCCGCGAAGGTTCCTGGAAAGCACGGTGCCCACAGGGAATTCACACACACACTGCACCCCACTAGTGCCCACAAAGAAACCTGCCACCCACCCTGACCAGACAGTGGTCAGAGAAAGCTCATATTCCCTAGCAATTACAAACCAAACCTTCAACCTGCAGCACTGCTGGGGACCAACTTCATGTGCTTACTTAAATAGACTTAGCAAGTTGGTTGGCTCCTCTAATTATTATTGTTCCAAGTCTAGAGCTACTAACTCAGTGCTGACTGAAGGCGCCTTCAGCAGACAATCTGTTTAAGGAGAGACACGATTTCTGAGACTTTGAGGCCAAAAGGTTTAAAGTGATGGTTTGGCCAAATATCAAATTGACAGTTTTCTTCTTCCCTCAAATGTAGTCAATCAGCCAAAACATGATTGGTGTCCACAGACACTGACTACTATTGGGGCAAAGAGAAAGTTTGTTTTTGGGCTGAACTATTATTTTAAGAACTGCCAGTTTTACCTCCCAAGGAATGCGTGAACCTAGAACAAGTGTGTCTGAGAAAGTGGAAAGAAAGTGATTGAATGATCTACAAACCTCAATTCCAAAAATGTTGGGACAGTATGAAATGCAAATAAAAACAGAAATTGAGTTATGAATCCAACTTGACCTGGATTTAAATGAAAACAGTACAAAGACAAGATATATAATGTTTTTCATTATCAACATCATTGTTTTTGTATTATAGCCTTGATGCCAGCAACACGATCCTAAAAAGTTAGGATTGGGCAATTTAAGACAAGGACCGTTGTGAAATGTTCAAAAAACATTTTAAACAGATGGTGCAAACATTATTATTGTTATTATTATTATTATTATTATTACTAAACGCTGTCATGTCATTTTTGACTTCTGAATGGTTGGTGGGCTGTAAAAGGAGCACCCTGTTTTCCAGGCCAAAGAAGAAAAGGACCACCCAGATTGTTACCAGCATAAAGTCTAAAATCCAGGGTCTGTTATGGTATGGGGAGTGCTGATGGCCATGACATAGGTAAACTGCACATCTGCAAAGGCAACATTAACAGTGAAAGATATATACAGAGTAATATATGCAGCCTTACAAACATCTTTTTCTGGGACATCCATGTTTATTTCAACATTCTGCATGTCACAACAGCATGGCTGCATAATCAGACAGTGCGGGTGCTAGACTGGCGTATTATGAAACGCAGAAGATGATCAGGGCCCCATACGGTTGCACAGTTGAAGACTTGTGTGAAAAAAATCTGCTTTCAAAACTGATCAGGGTCTTCAGTCTCCAAACAATTATAAGTATTATTAAAGAACATGTGATGCAACACAGGGGTAAACATGCTCCTGTCCCAACTTTCTTAGAACGTGTCAGGTATCAAATTTTTGTTTTTGCTCTGCATTTCACATACTGTCCCAACATTTTGGAATTCAGGTTTGCATGGTAATCTGAAGTGTAGATCCATATTTTCCAACTCAGTGGAATGGTTTATGCTTCTCAATGAAAGACTTCATAAAGTAACCCCATTTTGATCGGTCATAAAATGCACCATGAATCAGCTATGTCACAAATATCTGCAATGAAAGTGCATGCTTTGAGATATCTGTCAAAAGTAACCAATAGAATTATAGTACCTTCGTCTTGTATAGTTAATGTGACCTCTCCCAATCAATAAATGGTGTAAATATTTTCTATGGCGACAATGCCAGACTAAAGCCAGACTAATATAAAATCAGTTCTGGATGTACTAACTTACTATTTTAATAGTCTGGCATCAAATGTAGATGCTTACTTCTATAGTATGTTTATCTGTCTGTAAACTGCTTGATTTGTTTGATCAGTTTCTGTGAATGTTAATTTTTTTTCTTTCTTTTTTCAGTTTCTGTGGCTATTTATAATAGTACTACTGATAAAGGTTACTTTGCAGCCCAGTGCAGTGAATCACATCATATGAACTTCTCTTGTACACTGTATGTAGGGTGTGTGTAGTGAACTTGGTTCCCACAGCACACCAGTGAGCTGAGTGAAGAAAATTTATTTGGACTGAATTACAGAAATATGCTCTTTGGCTGTTCTTTGGTTATTAATTTCTGTAACTGAAACTGTGCTTACAGGGCCTGTTGGATCGTTTCATGTATATTTCCATGACACTTTTTTTCACAGAATGGTAGGTATTTTTAAATGAGTTTGTCTAACATTATATTGTGCTACTTGCCAGAGTAGAGATTGGAAGTCCAACATATCCTCTAGGTTGTAGCCTATGAGTTATTATATATAGTCAAACACTGCCATCTTGTGGTGCTACTGTATTTTTAAACGAAGAGGAATCATTGAGAATATTTTTCTCAGCTGATGTATGGGACTGGTGGAACGCCTTGTGTGCTAAAGGACAGTCTGGAGTAGGTAACCGATTACTCGGATGACTCACTTATTAGAGGGTAAAGAATCTCGCACATCATGACTACAGTTAGAAAAGCAAAGACCGGTTTTCATGATCCTACATCAAAATATTCTCTACAAAGATGAAAATTCATCACCTTTTAACAACTTAGCTATTCAGGAATTAGGAGCACAAAATTTAGATCCCCATCCATGAATTAATAGGGGTTCCAAGGGCATCATTTCTTTCTACAGGTTAGCAGAAAATGTTCATTATCTGTATTTGATTACTGAGGACCCTATTAAATCACTATGCAGTCAAAAAAAATCTGACTCTCAATGTACATCTGTCACACTGCCATTTCAATGTTTTAAAAGCTATTCAACTGCTACCAAGTATTTTTGTGACAATTTATAGCATTGCCCTACTTTGAAAAAAAGAAAAACACTACACAAAATATTAAATCCCTCAGACAGTGCCTGAACAGGATAAAAATTAACAAGGCACCAAATTTATGTACTGCATAAGTCCATGCACATGGGCCACTTCATGTACATTTGCAGACTGGCTCCATCTGGTAAGTCTACAATATTAGCACAGTTCTTAAATTAATTATACATCAACACTTCAAATGATCAAAACAGCTTGACAAAAATATTACACACCATGCATATACTCAGAGAGCCACTATTCACACAATCAAATCCTAAACTGTCTGAAAACTTTAAACCCCACAAGAAATGTTACATTTATTCTAAACAAGTAAATAAGAAACCGTCTACAATTCTGACAAGTTCTGCATTTTCCACTGACCTAGACAGTTTTTCTAGATACCCTTATTAGAAAACTTAGGAGAAATCCTGGACATTTTGTTTGAACATCTCTCTCACACACACACTTCATATTGTCATTCTCTTCAGCATATACCTGGCCCATTAAACGTTATGAACTGATTTTCATGCTGAAAAAGATTGTGCTAGTTCAATTGACCGAATTTATTAAAAGGCAACAAGACTTTGTGATTTTTTTTATTCCCCAGTAAACTTAACAGCATAAACATACAACTTAGAAGAATGTTTTTGGTCTCCTGGTGGTGAAGCGGGGCTTGTGCTGCTGGCGCAGAACCCTGTGGGGCAGGGGGAACTTGATCTTGGAGTCCTATAGAAAATAGACAAGAGCCATGTTAACAAAGTGTTATGGTAATCTAAAGGCTACTAATCCTTATGACAGGATGTTGCCAGTTTTAAAGCCGCCAGATTTGAAGACTGTACACTTAATCTGGAAGAGGTATCTGGCAGTGTATTCTTGCAGGCTTTTAACCAGCACTGGCCACAAGACCATTCCAGTGAGAGACCTGCTATTTATCTGCATATAACACATAGAGACTGTTAAACACTGCCATGAGACTTTATAGCTGAATATCAGGGCCCGGTGTCTACGCAAGTACTAAGCATCAGTTTTGTTTTACTTATTCACTACACATGCAGGCTCTGTAAAGCAGGACATGGATAAAGTGATTAAAACTTACATGGAACTGCTTGATGGCAGGTCTGCGGCACTTGTTGGCTGCGATCACCTGCACCTTCATGATCTGAATAGCATGAGCGCGTGCACGATGACGAGCTCCCATGTCCCGGTCTGAATACAATTGACGGAAGAGGAGAGGAAAAAAGTTCTTAGATCAGGTAACATATTAAAGCGAATGAATTCAGAGCAATCACCTGTAAGGCTTTTTAATTCATTTTAAAAATTAAAATGAATAATTTTGACTGTTGATGTCCCCGAATTAATGGTTCTGGTGGAAAATTAACAAGAAACTTGCATGAACAAACGTGGCAGTTCGTTGTGTTGAACCCTGAATTCACTTCCATTGGCACATAACAGCGTATGAAAGGCGACAAGGTCCTTTGACTTTCCTTTGCGCACACATAGCAAGAACATTATACATTGAAATAATGACCTTTGGGTTTGTGTGCAGGTTCTCTCATGAAAGCTGTTTTAGCCCAGCATCGTTGTGCTGAAATCTTACAACTTCCACCAGTGGCATTTGTTGGATTCCACACCAGAACAGAGGATGTGGCAGTGGTGTCATGTGTGCTGGTACTCACAGCACTGGGTGACTGCGCCAGAGGTGGTCAGGTCTCTGTACTCGCGGTACATGTTGTGGGTGCCACTGCGGGAGTCATAGCGCAGCCAGATGCCAAAGTTCTTTACCTTCAGGGGAGACTTCTCATGAACCTGGTGATGAAAAGAAAAATCAGATCTGTGAATCTGTATGTTTTAGTTTTCACCTCAGAACCAGCTGAAAATCACAAGACCAACTGCAAGGCAAAATAAAAGCCATTACATTTAATAAACTGCTATAGAACACATTCTCATTAGCAACTGTTCTAAGAGCACAAGCTGTCAAAATTGTGTCTCTGTAATAGTGTCATATTTAACACGTCATGCTCTCGGAAGTGTATGCCTATTACTGTAGTAGAAAGCCATTTAGCATCTTTCCCAGAGGACATCATTAACCCCACTGACCACTGCTCCAGTCCTAAAGAATTTTCCTTTAGTTTATATTTCTAATCCTAGTCAGTCATCGAGCTGTTTATGAAATAAGAACAGGAAAGCATGGAAAAAGGCTGACTTGTTCAAGAATGTGGCCCTTCAGAAGTACCATCTGGACATCCCTGCCCCACATTTTCACTCTGACCAACACAAAAAAAATTGCTCTTACCAGGCCACAGTACACAATCTCTCCAGAAGCCTTCTTCATCTTCCTCAGCTGAGAGACGAAGTACCAGAAGCGAGACTTGGCCACCACATGGTTGGGGGCGAAGATCCTCATGCGATACAGAGGAGGAGCTGGGTTCTTGGTAGAGGGCAACAGACGCCCAACAACTTTGTACTCCCTAAGCTAAAAGGGGGGGGGAAAAAACATTAGCAAGGCGTTCAATAATGACCACACTTAGAGCAAATAACTGAGTTACCAAGAACGAGGTGCCAAGAGATACCAAGGGTGTGTTGCAATACTTTAAAAGTGGAGCTCAGCACCAACCTACCCTGGCATCAGTCTTTCATTTTTAAACAAAAAAAATTAACAGATCTGTTTGGAGGTCTGCTGCAAAACCAGCAGGCATAAGACTTCAGAGTCTTCAGGAATTCAGCCATAACAGCTCTGATAGATTATTTTGTAAGTTAGTTACAGGGGCAAAAAGCACTTCTCAGAGGTTTCTAAAACTTCTCCGTTTAGCTTGACAGGATGAACAGCTGCGCTTTAACTGAGCAGCTAACGTTACTTTCACCCTGATGTCATGACGGCGAGAGGAGCGCACATACTTCTATAACCTACGTTAAAAAAATAAGAAAGCTAATCCATATATGAGCTACTAATCGCATCCTGGTTCCACAAACCACGGCTAGTAACAAAATATGCTCCTGAATGTTAAGCGCCAATACAGCCGCTCATGTTTTGCCAGCGTGCTAACAGGTTAGCTCAGTCAGCGCCGCCGCTCACACACGTTACTCCGTAAACAGGTCATCAGACCCCGTATCTGCTCTGCCCTACCACTACTCAACACATTAAAAAACCTTAAGACAGGATACTGTCCCTTATTTGACGAGAAGACGCCATCTCCACTCGGCTAGCGGGACAAAGCGGCCGGGCCGCATGGTTTCAGCGCACACTGACGGACGCCATGTTGCAGCCCGGACGGTCCCATTAAAAGTGAACAAATTTAACGCTTTTACACCAAACATGAGCTGTAAGGGCAACTCTCTACCGACGGTTTAGTGTCTTACGGAACGGTGCAGTACACAGACAGGTGTCTGTAGTGAAAATTCAGCGTTTAAAAGTGTTTTTACGTACTGTGCCAGACGCCTTCATGGTGTCTCTCTGACTGCCACTGTGGAAAAGGAAGGTGCAGCGCGCAGGAGCTCCGCCTCAAACCTCCGCCTCTTCTTCTGCTCTCACACACTGCTCGGACTGCTCAGTCTCGCCCCCTGCTGCTCTTGACACACCTCACACACCGTGAACAACGAAGCATGGAGGATTATAAATTATAAATCTGATGAAATTCAAAACATAATCGCGTTAATGTTTGTTTCGAGCAGCTGCACTGGACAACAATGCCGTCAATACCGTTAATAAAACTCCGACAGGCGGGCCCACAGGGGCACTGGCCCCAGAAAAAATCTGACTGCCCCCCCAGACACTCACCACCTCCAGTCACATCGTTGACAAACTCATTGCCCTCTCTGACAAACACTAAGCCCTCATATAGCACGTGTGAGGCCCCATGTAAGGGCACAACTGTGGTCCTGGAGGGCTGTGTCCAGCACAGTTTGGTGATTTACCTGCTCCAACACACCTGATTACATTGATCTGTTAATTGCCAGGTTAAGTGGGTATGTTTGAGCTGGGAAACCTCCAAACTGTGCCCTCTAGGACCGGAGTTATGCACCCCAGCTTTTAATAAATAATTGTTTTTTTTACACTGTTTCGCTATTTTATTTGCATTGTTTTACATTAAAATTATATTGGTAATATTGAAGAAATACTTAGAACTAATGTCATAGCAACATTCAAATGACTTTAATATACCAGCATTGAGGACAAGTTGATAAATGAAATAATGTTGACATATGAAAATTGAAGACCAGCTCAAAACTAGCCTCGGTGTACTGCCCATTCAAATCTATTAAGGGCCCACCATGGGCTAAATGATGTAGGACCAATGTGGAGTGACCCACAGTGGGCCTGTGTCAGGTTATCTGTGGGCCAGCCTAGTGGTGCACTGCCCTCCTAAATCTGTTAAGGGCCCTCAGTGGGCCAGCTGATGGGTGAGATTATCTGTTGGCGGGCCCAGTGGCGTATTGCCCATGCAATACAAGCCCATTCAGATGAGCTAATGCTAAGCTAACATTGGCGCCATTCAGTGCTGTTGGAGGATCCGCCGCCTTGTATGCAAGGTTTTTAGCAAACTTTAATGAAACAACAGAAGTGATGACATGAGTATGAGTACATTCATTTTAACTTTACATAGATCTCTGCAGTAACCTTTTCACATCCCAGATAGCAAGAGGATAGCGGGCCTCTGTTGAACCGCTAACGGCAAAGCTCAGCATTTTTCCAGGTGCCCCACTGGTGGAAGCAATACCACTTTTAATCACTCATTTTCCAGTTGCAGTCCAATTTACTTATTCATCCTTCATTTCTTTCTTTCATTATCCTTTGTAAATTAGTTTGGTAAATAATTTTAATCCAGCAAAATATCAGCAACATTTTCAACAAGTCATTTTATATTAGGCCTAGTTATTTTTTTCTGTAGTTTGTAATATTTATCTTAATTTATTTTCCAAAATAAAAGGCTATATGCATTTAAAATCTGTTTGTGTAGATTAAAAGCTAGTTAGACCTTGTATGCAGAAAAATAATCTGTTTTTGCATTTGCAGGTGGTCTTGTTTAGACAGACTTTAAGTCAATTAGTATTCTCATTTAATATTCTTAGTATTTTTAAATCCGATGGACATGGGTTTTATACGATAGGGAAACACGGTCTTGCGTTTAAACAACTAGTCATTCCAGCCAATGCTTCATTAATGTTCATGTTTAAAAATGGCTAATGTAGAGACAATATCTAAATAATCCATAAATAAAATGAATAAATGTGGGTCTGCTCTAGGAAAACGGTCTAAATTATACCGCACACTATGGCTGAGAAACTCACATTAAACATGGATCTGATTATTAAGAAACTTTTAAGTCATTATTTTCCTGAATAGCTAAATATTTATGTGTGACGTGGTTGTCTGACGTAGCCGCTGCGCATCCGGTGCGATCTACAGATCATGTCCGCGATGTGTTTAACCCGGAGAATGAGGTGAGGATCAGCGAGCTTTGCTCCTGATCCGGAGATCATGTGATAGCGGTCAGTTCAAGATGGCTCCTCTTGTGGAGGAACACTTCAGCTCCTTGCAGCTCTTGTTGAAGGTATGTTTTAAAGTGTTTTGGTTTTGTTTGTTGTGTCGTGATACCGATTAGATATTCCTCACAGTCGATTTGTCAGATACCTAAATGGGTTTTGCAGGCCAGCGGTCTGTTTAACTGACACAAAACGCAGTTCGTTATTTAGTGTAACTTAAGCTTTTTTCAGTTCACACTAGGTAGGTTAGCTCGTATACCGTGTATAAATATAGTTATTTTGGGAAAAATGAAACAACAGCAGTTGTGTTATATAAATTGTGCATACTTTAAATATGTAACTTGTTTTGCCATCTCTATTTGTGCACATTGTTTTATCTAAGAACTGACTTTGCTGTAGGGTTGTGTTAATGTCTGTTCACTTTATTACGCCATAAGATGTGCAATACTGTTTAAAGATATAAATTCATACAAATAGCAAATACAGCATAAGTACCATACAGACAAGCAGGGGGCGTGACACAGATTTCATTCATCCAACGAGCACATAGCCTTTAATGATTTCCTACTTCTTAGAAAACCTAATGCAGTATTTAAGCACACCTGTTGTGAAAACATTAAAGCTGGGATTAAAGCTGTACATCGTTTCATGAATGTAATATTTACCTAGTGTCTAAACTAAATCAGTGATGTATATTTTTTGAGGGGATATTATTTCTGTATGGGTTTCCTTTTTCAGTGATGGGGAGTGAAGTTGACCTCTGTTTTCCGATTATAGATTTAATGTAATGAAATCTGTACACACTGAGCTAAATAACAATAAGCCTGCATGATTTGTTATAGGCTCCATCCAAAGACATAGTGCGACAGCTATGTACGGACAGTTTCCCGTCCAGGGCACCTGAGTCTCGTGCTCTAATAGACAACACTGCACGGATCCTCTCCGTGTCCAGTAGTGAGGCGATGCAGGTCACCCCACGGGGTTTTATTTGCATCAGTAATTTTGTAATAATATTCATTTGTTAGCACCAAAGACATTTAACCTAAGTCTTTCTTTTTTCAGGTGCTGACAGCCCTTCATATGCTCTCACATCATGTTGTGTACCACAATTTAGCAGCACCGGAACAAATCCTGTCCATTTTTCCTGACACTTTTCACCCAAACCTCAAGAATCTGCTTACGAAGATCCTCCTGGAACAAAGGTAGATTGAATACACAATTTATGTATCACTTAACTGATTGTTGTTAAACCAGAGAAAATGTTCTGTGTTACTCTGAATGTTGTAAAAGGTAAATGTTCTTTATTTCTTTAGCACAACATGGAGAAATGAATCTTTGGCCAATCAGAGTAAGTGTGAACGAAGCAACAGTGTTCATTTCATTGGGAACTTTGACTGTTTGTATTATCACATCCCATTAATACACCTTGGTACTATAACTGTTCTTCTGTGTGCGCATGCTGTAGTCTCTTTACCACAGCTTGTAGATATGGAGTGGAGGGTGGACATGAAGACAGCCTCAGATTCAGTGAGCCGCATGGCTGTGCCTACCTGTATCTTGCACATGAAGGTATGATGGATAATTCAACAAAGCTGGCTTATAATTCGACTCTAGTGAATTACACATTAGCTCTGCATAATGCAATGAACTATGCAGACACGGAGTGTTTTATGTGGATTTGTGTGATTCTTCCAGATTCAGGACTCCCCCCATGTGAGCGGCAGTTCTTGTGACTCTTCAGTGACTGTGGAGCTGAGCAAAGAAACTCTGGATACCATGTTGGACGGCCTGGGCCGCATCAGAGACCAGCTGTCCGCTGTGGCTGGAAAATAGACTCGATCTGTAACACGTTGGAGAGAACTCTACTTTTCCCCTCAGCTTAGTTAATTCATAGTATAGCATATCTGTCCCCACTGTTTGACAGCACCACTGAGGTGCTCTGAGGATTAAAGTTGTATATGCACCCTCTTGGGCACAAAAAGCCTTTGCATTTTTTTGGACCGTCAGCCAAACTGTTGAGCATCTGTAGCCTGTGGATAACAGTGCTCAGACTAGGAAAGGACTAATTGCTTGAGTGCATTGCCAAAACATGAGTATGCACAACTGGCTGACATGCAGCATAGAGAAGAAAAAACCCAGCCGTCTGTTTCTTACAATGACAATGTAACCTGTTGCATTTTCAGGGACATCATAAATGGCAGATGGCACAACTGGGCTTCAAGCAAGAAGTTAAAAAAAAAGAGAACAGCCTGGTCGTTTTTATATAAAGGTTTAGTAAATTGTGCTCTGCTTCTGAAAATGCCATTTTTGTTAACTGTGTAGACTAACCTTGATAATGTAATGTATGTTGTTGATTTATGTAAATGCCATGGCAGCACTCAGTGTGATGGAAAGAACCAGAAAAAAACAGTACAGATTATTAAAACAAATTCATCATCCAAATGTTTTTTTTTTTTTTTAGTTTTTTTCCTACTGCGTGAAGGCTACAGTAATCATAATTATATCTATATTTAGTGAAAGGAAGGATTTAGCATAAAATGTACATTCACAGTGATTAAAACAGTTTAAATGTCTTTACAAACTTGTGTGAAAAGCCAATAATCATAATGGAGTTTCTTCCTACTGGAGGTGTTTGCATGGCTGGGTGCAAGAGGGTTCCTGAATACCTACTGAGTTCTGCCAACTCTATGATGCCCTGACCACAAATACAGGTGCAGCTCAATAAATTAGCATATCATCGAAAAGTTAATTTATTTCAGTAATTCAATTCAAAAAGTGAAACTCATATATAGATTCATTACACACAGTGATCTATTTCAACACCTGACCTCTCCTTGCCCCTCCTAAATATTTCCTCTTTTTTAGCTTTAACACCATTATCTCCAAATCACATGCTATTATAACCCCACTGAACTTAATTAGGATTACATTGTTTCTTTGATTATTCTTCACGTAACTGCTGACATTATTTTTCTTGTCAAAATTCTTCTGTTGTTTCCAAACTAAGAAGTAACACTTAAAAAAAAATAATCACAGGCCAAAGCCACAATCAGGCCTAGGCCTCTGAACTTTATTTACTTATTTGTTACTTAAATTCTTTAAAAGACAGACACAGTAATATGTGATTACAACTCAGTCTCTCTTCATATGTGTTTCTCCAGGCCATAGCCTTTGATGAGACCTGCTTGGCACTCACTATTACAATCTCTAACATACTAAGGATTAACAGGCACACAGAGTGAGCCATACAGCATAATGTGATTAGTTATGATTAAATCATCTGTTACATTAGTGAACTTGACAAATCTTTCACATTATCAAAAAAGTCTCCCTCAACACCTTGGCAGTGTTTGGCAGAGGTCGATCACTCATCAATGGTTGGTAATACAGGCCTCATCCATCCGTCACACGTTGCTTTTCTATTCTTGGTGCTGAATGCTTGATTTGTGAGTGTGTTTCATTGACCGTGTTCTCTGCTTTGCTCCAGGACTGTGATCCCTTCCATGTCCAGCTCCACTGAGTGCACAGTGAAATCTCCAAGGCCCTGTTGAGAAACATTCAACTCAACTAAATTCAACAAATTACTAATGTTACTAAATATTATTTATTATCTAAACTGTTACTGTTTTGGAAGACTATTGAATTTTACTCCTTAGCCTAACCTCAGGCCTATTATTCATCAACAGCTTTAGATTTACCGAAGTGCCAAATTTCACAGACCTATTCTTTAATGCACATCTCTTTCTCTTACTTGCGTGCTGTTGAGGATCTCTCGCACGGTCTCCTCCTGTTGTGCATGGCGTGTGAGTATGAAGAGGAAGCCTCCACCTCCTGCCCCCGCTAGACTTTGCCCTAAAGCCAGTGGCTGAAGAGCATTCATCATGGTTCTCACCGCAGCTGGTTCACAGCCTGGAGCCATCGCTTTCTTCTGTTGCCAGTAACGGTCTATGCTGGCGCCCAGTCCAGAGAGGGACCCTGAAAGTGTTTGTGTGTGTGTGAGTGAGTGAGTGAGTGAGTGAGTGAGAGAGAGAGAGAGAGAGAGAGAGAGATTTCCAGTTAGCCCTTAGATTCTATTAACTACCACAGCACTTCTCAATGTGCATGCATTTAAGCTTAAGCAAGGAAGTCCGCAGTGTGGCCTCTCCACCAACCTTTTCTAAAAGGCAAACAATCAAAGAACTAAAAACTGCTGGGTGAATCAGAGTCTTAAAGAACTGGCCAAGTCAGTCAGTTGAAGCAGGAACAATTTTCGTGCAAATTAAAAAAAAAAGCATGTCAAAAGCACAATTTCTGCACACTGTATACAGTTCACATGTGGAATAAAATATTTTTCACTCTGGGACAGTTGAAAGTGTTTTTCTTCCTGGTTTCCATTACATTTTGTGAAAAATCCTGCTTGTTTTCATTTTTTATTTTCATTTCCTGTGCTGTTTTTAATCCCTGATGCAAAATGTACTGAGGGCTGACCCAAATATGAGGTTTGTGTGTGCACTCTCACCCTCAGTGCAAGCACGAGCACAGTCCTCAGCATTGCTCACCAGCTGCTCTGCGTTTTGCACAATCGCAGGTAGACGACTGTACCAATTCCGCACCACATCCTAAAAAACGTGTATTGTTAATAGTAATAGGAACACAGACTATAACGTAGTGCATAGTCCTAGAAGGGAGTACGCACTGAGGCTGATTGAGCGTCAGTGAGTGGAAAAAAACAATGTTCATTCAGACCTGTAAAAGGTTGCGGGCCAGACGAGTCTTTCCAGTGTAGATCAGCAGGAGGCGCTGTTGCAGTGCAGAGAGGAAGTCCTGGGGAAGAGAGAGCTGCTCCACATCCACTCTAAGTGGCAGGGTGGCACGTGACCGCGCCACCTTTACCCCTCCTACCAGCCCCCCCACCTGGTCCTGCCACCCCCCACCTAAAGCACATCAGCACAGGGAAAAACGTAAGATATGAGAAATGTGGGACACTTGATCTTTCATGAAGAATACAATACTGAGGTCTGAATACACAATGTTTAAATGTTGATTTGATTATTTTTGAGAAAAATTACACTATCCACTGATCTCTCACGCAGTAACAAAGTGCAAAGAAACACAAGGATTTTAGCAAGTTTAGGTTTCATGTTTTATAATGAAGGATCAGTTATTCGTGCAGTGATCATCATATCAAACTACACAAATTACCAATATGATTTGATTGAGACCGTACAGACACACAAATCGCTTGTAATAGATGACTTATCACATCGCTTCAGCATATCAAGCCCTTAGGTTTTTGACCCACACATGGTAATATTCAATAAGAAGTGCTTGCAATACACAAAGAACACAATAATATGGGTGTCCACAGTGAAAACACCAAACCGATTTAATAAGAAAAGCACAATGTAATGTTCTTGTTTACTCACTATTGTTGTTTCAAACAAGTTAATTCTCACAAGGTGTGCCAGTCCACCCACTAGTATCTAACTAGTATTTAATTTACTTAAATGTTTATGATGATCTATTTGGATTTCAATAGTGCTACTTCATATTAAGCTGTTAATGGCACATTACTGGCTAAATAAGGTCACATAAATTCCTGAGAACTCTTACTGTAACATACATATTTGATAAAATACATATTTTGATGTATTACTTAATTATTTTGACCTTTTAAGGTTTTAGAGTTATATATAACAATTCTATCATGCTGCACGTTGTGAAAAATCTTGTGAAAGATAAAGATTTTAAGGGGCCCATGAGCCCCGGTGCAATTGTCTGTATCCCGTCACCCGAGTAGTTACATCATAGCATATGGGCATACACCTCTGGATGAATGCACATAGTGCTACCATAAAGGGACTAGTCAACATGGTTTTATATATTAAAAATAAGAAAGACATAGAAAATAAATACTGAAAGTCAAAATTTGAAAGGTCCTGTTTTGCTGCCCCGCTCACCTGTGGTGAGTATCTGCTCCAGATACAATACAGCGTGGATGAGAGAACTGGTGTCATAGCTCCGCCCAGTGCATCTGTACACACCTGCCAGGACAGCACCCGCAAGGATACTGCTTGTACCTACACACACACACACACACACACACACACACACACACACAAACAATTTTATAGTAAAAAAGACATTTCAGTTAGAGATTCAAAGATGCAACTCACTTTAACATAATCAAAAGCAGTGGCAGAAACTCATAATTTGAATCTCCCTGAAATATTAAAAATGTCCTATTAATAATTCTCTCATTCATGATACTCTCTTCATCTAGTTATGTCCCAACACACACACACACACACACACACACACACACACACACACACACACACACACAGTGTAAGTGTGGACTCACCCAGGCCGGAGCCGTGAGGCAGCAGAGACCAGGTGTGCACCTCCAGTCCTCCTCCCCAGCGCTGCAGCAACTGCTGCTCCAGAGAGAGAGAGGATGAAACACACACCACATCACTGCAAACACACACTGCCTTTAACAGGGCACCTGCAACACACACATACACAGACACACACAAATGCTCAAATGTATTTTCAACATTAATATCATATTAATGAATGACAAAAACACAAATGCATTTGCTAAATACAGTATGTGAAATATCATCACTGTCCAAAAAAAAAAAAAACATGTATCCCCATTTTTCTTTCTTCTTATTTTTCTATACCATTTGAACATGGTGGCTTTCCATTGTGTGAAAATTTCATGATGAACTGACAAATAGAAATGCTCTGTAAAGTAACCATTTTAGAGATACTTGTTTTTCTTTGGACAGTGACGATATTCAAACTTCAATTTCAACTGTTTTTTTGACCAATCAAAATTCTGTAATCACGAAGCTCTTGCTAAGCGTTTTCGACCTCGTCATCATCACCACAGCATATGGATTGTAAGCATAAGAACACTGACTACTCAAATCAAAGAAACAGCCAAGAATACCAAGAGCAGAATCCAAAGGCATAGATGCCAGAATAATGGAGACAAATTGTGAGCATATTAAAGCTGTATTATACATATTATTGCTTCTTCATGCAGAGCAAGAGGTACAAGTTTAATTCTTTTTCTGGTAGTTCCTAGTATTTGAGATTCTGTTTTTCCCCCAGTGCCTAGCTTGATGTTATTATTACTAATTTGTTGCAGCCCCCCACATGTAGGAGTGAAATTCAAGATTTGACCAAACCCGCTAATCTGTTCTGCTCATTCAAAACAGCACCCCTGGTGCTGCGACCTACCCAGTAGTAATTCTCAAAATCTATAATGAATCAGTGATTTTTAGGTGGTGATTGTTCAAAGGAAAGTAATCAGAACTAGAGAAGTCATGAACAATAAAAATGGGTAATCCTTTTTTGGATTTGTAGATGCTTACCTTGCCTTTTTGTCTTAATCCTACACTCACCACTCACTTTAACTCTAACCTTAACCTCAACTCAAAACCTAAACCTAACCCCAGTCCTAACCATAAACCTAGTTCTATAGCTTAAACCCTAAGGCTGTTAAGAATCAACAAATTTTTTTTTACCAAATAATTTTTAAGAATATGAACAGCTGTGGATAATCTATATGACTATCCAAATAAAGTGCAACTTTAAAACCTGGTAATCCGTGTTATTCATTGGTTAATTATTATTGGCTAATTATTAAAAATATTTTCATCTTTGTCGTGCTTTTAAGCATAGAGGAGCACTAAGTATCATGACAGGCCTGACCAGGAGCATGTGGCTGGCAGTAGTCCTCCAGATCAGCGAGCACCTCACACACTGTTTCTGTCGTCACGCTGCAGTCTGGAGGTCCGCTGGTGCTCACCAGCACCAAATGAGGTTTTGGAATGCGGCGGACTCTGGCCCCAATTGGCCGTTTTCCGTCCACTCTCACTGCCACGTTCACCACCACACCTCCATGCTCGAATGCAATGGGGGGGGTATCACTCCAGCCACCTGCAGGGTGAGAAATTTAAAACAAAATACAGCTATACAGGTTAAGGGTGTTTCATTTCAGCTATGAAGAGGTCAACAGAAAGACAGACAAACACAAAGGTCACTGTTAAATATTACATGAGGAGAAAACAGACAGTCCTAAGCTGAAGGCTATTTGGAGCAACCTCTGCTTCACACCTGAGGAACAGGGACAACTTAAAACTTTGTGGATAATTTCAGAACATTGAAATTTGTTTGTGTGTTTGAGACTTTTGTTTTTTTGGTGTTAGTTTGTTTGAGACTGCAGAAGAGTGCAACTCACCAGAGAGGTCCAGTCTGGCAGGACACTCCACTTCCTGCCACTCTCCCATTGGTGGCATCTCACTCTGACCAATAAACATGAACTCATGTGCAGACATCACCGCCTTCCTCAGAAGTATCTGCCCAGCCCCCTCATAGTGTCTGGCAGCTCGGACTAGCAGATCTGGCCTGAAGGGGGCGACAACATAAATGAGAAATCAGTCACATAATCACACCTGCTCAGATTCTCCACTCTCTGGATTCTCACCTGTTAAGCCAGAGGACTCTCTGTTTGGCCAGTTCCTGGACGCCGGCCACCAGTTTGCCCTGCTCCAGCAAATTGAAGGCAGAGGCCCAAGAGGGGTTGGCAGCAGGCCCACTCCTCAGACCCCCTCGGCCCTCCCCTGCCAGACAGCCCAATACATCAGCAATACATGCAAGACTGCGTGCAGCTATGCCCAGGTCACTACTGCTGCCCGACGCCACTAACACAGGACAGATCAGGTGACAGACAGACCAACAGAAAAACAGACAGACAAACAAAATGATATGCATTTTAAACGTAGATGACTGAACGAGAATGTCACTGAGATGTCAGTCAACAACATTATTTTTGCACTGAGACGAGGGCAGCAAGACAATATTTATCATTATTGTGATAATTTACGTCACAAAATGTCACAACATGATTTTCTGAGTATATCATAGATACTGTCAGTACTTCTAGAACACTGACCAACTCCATGTTTCATTACAAAGACAGCATCATCAGTCCTGTTTAACTGGATTTACTGCAACACAGTGAGTGAAATATTAAATAAAAATGGTTGTATTCAAGAGGTGGGCCATATGGCAAAATTGTAATATCATAATACATCAAGAAATTCTCATGATGCACAGTATATTATGACATTTGTTTGTGGAAGTATTTGTTATATGTAGCACTACTGTTTTTTTTTTCAATTGTTCTAAGTCAAGTCTGACAAGATGTCAGAAAAATTAAATATTGTGACATGTTGTTTGTCATGAAAATTTCCTGAAGTATTGTGACATTATATTTTTGCCATATTGCCCACGCTTATTTAAGACAGTGATCGCCAACTTTGTACACACTTGTTTAACAAAACGAATGAAGCTGTTAGAGTCAGATACACATAACCAACCACCATCTGAGCATTTGAAAATCTCTTTTTTTTTGGAAAATGTACTCTAAAATTGTCTGCTGGAGTATTAGAAATATTCCTTTTTGGTCTTTTTCAAACAATGAATATAAGCAACGTTAAAAAAGGATTACAGTACAGCCCTAAAGCAGTGCGTGTTGCGTGCTCACTTGTACAGCGGAAAGACTGAACTATTTCAAAGCTTAAGGTGGCAAACTATCAATCAGAGGAACTCAAACGAAACACTTTTTTATTAAACGAAGACAGAAAACCTGAAATACAGACTACGTTTTTTGATACAGCAACAGAATGGCAAAGAAGCCTGCCAACACTGGCTGCACTTTCAATACATTTTAAAAATGTAAAGCTTTTTGCCGCTGCAGTGTAACTTTGCCCAGAGCAAACAACTCCAATGAAAGTGAATGGGTGAAGCCTTTTTGCTATAATAGTGTGAATGCTGCTTAGGAGGGACATGATAAGATTCAAAATTCAGTCTCTCCTCACCAGAGTCCAGTGTTTGCAATAGCTCCCCCTGCTGGCCACCCAACACTGCAGCTCTGATGGAAGGCAGCAGGTTGTGGTCAGTGTGGCCCTTCAGAGTGTCCTCAGCTCTCCTCCGCCCTGCGCTGAAGAACAGCTTCTCTCTCCAGTGCAGCTCCTCCTGCTGCTCAGTCAGAGACAGAACCTCTCTGAGGGAAAGTCTCCAGGCTGCTCTCCAGCTTTCTGCACTTCCAGATCCACCCAGAAGAAAGCTCACTCCCTCAAGCCCCACTGGCCCTCCCTTTGGCATGAACACTGGAAACAAGCGGGCATCCAGCAGACTGCGACACAATCCGCTATCTGCTGCCCACAACTCCTCGGGCCTGTCACACACACAAAAGTGCTTCTTTTAATACTGGAATGAACACTGGCCATGTTTATTCCCATATATTCTCAGATAGTGATGTGGAATCTATGGACTATTTTATGTCCCTTACTTTATTCCAGTCCGGCTATAAAACTGACTCCATGTTTGGTTGAGAAATGAACCAGCAGCCTCATCACTGTGAGCCTGCAGAAGAGAGAATAGTAAAACATGGAACATCACAACTCACAAAACTTTGCTCTTTGTAGTTCATTCTAGAAAGTTCTCCTTCAAAACAGGCTGGAGGATGGGTTAACCACGCATAGCATATTCATAAGGCATAAAGATCACGTGTGAGCTGGTTTGAATCTCAGCTCTGCCACATGCTGCTAAGATTCTGTTGAAGAGTTGGTATTATGCTTCAAAGCTATCAAAGAAGATGTGTACTAGCCTTACTATGTAACAAAACATATACAGTGAGGTTTAACTGTGGTGTATATTCATACATACACAACATAACATACAGAGATACAGTGAACACCACAACATTACAAACCTCCAAACTGTCATAAGCACCCAACACTGTGAACACGGTTAACTTCAGTTCTCCCAGCTGCACCCTGTGCCCCTGCAGGATGATGTCACTGGTCAGAGGCATGCGCTGTAAGTAAGTTGATGAGTTCAGATCCAGACCTGACAGGAGGCACCCAGGCTGTACTTGAATTGGACCCTAGAAATAAAACACACATTTACTTTACCAGTTAGTGCGGGCACATTCAAACAGCCAAAGCAGCAGATCAACAGTGAAAATGTCTGCTTGCAACTATTTTAAGTCAAGAAATCAGCAAAAGCAGACTGGTTGCTACTTCAACATGTTTATGCATAGAAGACACTGTTGACTGTGTTCTGACTTGGTCCTGCTTCTGCTAAATGGAGACTCACTGATTCCACTGCACTGGCACAACCTGCTGAAGCAATACTGTCATCTGGAATATGAGGCTAGGTATGTGTGTCGCCAGGACTTTGGACAGGCACAACTCTTGAGAGAATAGTTGGAGGCCATCAGGGGCCAGGGTTGCAAATTCAATGGTTTTTAATGTATTTAAGGCTGCAACAAGTGGGAAAAATACAATTTCCAAGGCACAACAATGCACACTCACCTAAATGACAAGTATGAATTTTTTATGTTTTGTCTTTGAATAAAATCCAGAAAAGCATACTGTTCATCACGATAACAAAATTTATCACGATAATGACAAAAACTTCATCATCATATTGTCCACCTCTAGTTGGGTGGATATTTTTAGTACTGTTCTGAAGTACTTTTCAACCAGTCTTTAGGCACAGTAATGTAATGTCACACATTTTATGACATTAAACATTTTAAATCTATTTTAAGAGTTTAAAGAGGATCAATGGGAATCTTCCTGATTGCTTTAGCAGGCACAATAAAGTTCAGAAAAGGTATCTATTATGAGTATGTATGTTCCCTGGGAACCCATTACACTCACATTGCGAGCATCTTATTCTATCAGTTGAGCTACAGGAACACTGACCTGTAAGTGGCAGTGTTGCACTACTGCCCCTGCTGCAACACGCACGCTACCTTCCAGCACCGTGTTGATCACCCTACTGCCCTCACTCACACACTGCATCTCCTGCAAAAAGGGAGATGAAGATAGAAATGAATTATAACACATGAATTATGCACATACATTTATTGAACTTGAGACAGAACAAGGGTTCAGCTCCAACTAATATACAGAAAGACAGACTGGATATTCGCTCTAACCCTCAGTGTGCATCACCTGTATGTGGGAAAGAATCTGTCTCTCTGTTCCTGCGTCTGTCAGACGTACAACATGTTCTCGACCTGACATTGTCAGATAGTCATAGCGTCCATCTGGAATGTACACTGCAATGACATGCACACATACCACTGCATAAATAAAACACTTAAACTCGGACAGAAAACACTGCGAAACTGAGAAAAGAAGAAGTGTGAACAAAGCACCCAGAGAAAGCGGAACTCCTCTCAAAGTTTTCCACAGCACAGAACGAGCACTCTTCACTGCTGCCCCTTGTGGACCCAGAGGTGAACTGCAGCCTGTTCTCTTTCCATTCACAAACTCTGATTCAGTCATTTCTGAACAAAGGCACATCAGAACATCCAGAAAGAGAGAGATCTGCAGAGAGGAAGGCCAAACAGACAGAAGGTAGATGCTAAGAGAAATATGCCATTTTTGAGACAGAGATTTGTGTGTTCATTCGAGCATGTGTGTGTGTACCTGTAGGGGTGGAGCGCCTGAGTCCATGCCCAGGTAAGTGCAGCCATCCAGTGGCGGTGTAACATGAGTCTGTAATAACCTTTCAGAAACCGATCTGGAGAAAAACACAGGACCGGACACCTGGAACCCATCATATATACACAGCATAAACATGATGCACAGTTTTTGGGCTGGCCCAAATAATTAGCAGACCCAAGAATATCAGTTATGTTTGTATTTGATTCTCTATTTAGTATTCGGAAAGTATTTCTTGGTCCTTTTTCCAAGTCACAAAAACGTTAGCCTAAAGTACAACGCCTTAATTTTATCAGCAAAGAGCGCTTCTTGTCAAAATATGTAAAAAGTTTTAAAACTAAATCAACCATAGCTGTTTCAGTTGACAACATCCTAAAATCTTGGGAGGCATCCACGTTATTTCACCACAGAGCGCAACAAATTGCGCTGCTTTCCAGATAGCTGAAGCGAAAATAGCAAAGAGAAGTGAGAGCACTTTAAATTACATTAAGAAAAAATGCTCATTACAAAATAGATACCAGGGAGGGACAAGTTTGCTAAATCACCTCACAGATGCAAGTACAGTGATACTTGTTTGGGTACCACTAGTTGAAGGTGCCGCTACACCTGTTTGTTATGGTGAATTCCTGCAGTGAATGAGGAGCTAATGCTACTCTGCTGCAATGATGGTCACTCACAGGCAGAGCTGTATGGCACTGGGGTAAAGTTCTTGCTAGCCTGCGAGGCTTCAGGCTGTGGACCAAAAACCACATTCCGCAGTGTAAGTGATCACAGTTTCAGCGGTTCCATTGCTTTGTAACATCTTGAGCTTGTTAAAGGCTCCAGGAGGACAGGCTGCACCTGCCGAGCAGGATACCCGCCAAGCTGCTTCTAGCAAGGTCCACCACACGTTCAGATGAGCCCGTAGCTCTGAAAGCTCCTCAGTCCTCTGCTCCACTCTCAGTAGCTTAGCTATGAGAGAGCTTAAGCTGGCCTGCATGTCGCCCTCATTGCTGCTTTATAATTAAACAACAGTGATCTAGTAATAATAATAATTCAATATAAATGAAACTAAAACTATGAGCACGGTAAATAAAACAGCAATTCTAATTAGCATTTACATGACTCATAAAAGCTGTATTTGAATGAGAAGGCTACAATAGAGATGTCTATTACAGCAACATACAAGCAAGCAGCTGGGCTTCAGCCTGACTACTAATACATTATTGTCGCCTACTGGATATATTGTGGTATTTTGGTATAAACGATTATTCCAGTACCAAAGAATTTCCAAAGCCTGTAAAATGATATTTGGGCCAACCCTAATAAAGAGAGCACCATAAGTCATACCTAATCACACCTAAATACTGTTTTGATAGTGAGATAACCAGAAGGCATATTAACATTCATTACCAATTCAAATGAACGTTTCATGTTAGAGTTATGATGAATGTTGTTTACATAGATGCAAAAGTGATACCAGAGGCACTTTCCCATCAGGTAGTACAGCTGAGCGGATCCTTTCCTCAGAACCCCGATAAATGATATCACGCACTCCTCCCTGTCAACACAGAACTCAACATTACTACTCTGTTGTGTTCAGTTCAGTGTCTCGCCAATGAATGTTTTACCTTCGGTGAGTACTGCATTACCCAATACGCACCTCTGTATCAGTGAGGTAGACTCCATGGTTAGCAGCAAAAGAAACATCACCAGGCAAGGACATGACCCGCACTCCAGAGAAGCCTTCCCATGATATCTCTGCAGAGATATTTTAAATTCAAGAATGCAAGCATGCATGTGTGCTTGTACAAGGGTGTTCTGAGACAATACAGTGTGTAACCTCACTCTGAGCAGTGGGTAGAGTCAGGATCATATCAGTACTACACACCCAGACACCTGGCGGAGAGCCAACACACACCTGAAATATAAGATTTATTTATATAACACACCAAAGACACCAAAACATGCAGGGTGAACCATATTTTCCAATGTGAAATACGTTATGTAATAATTTATAGTTTTCTGACCTTGGTCGAAAGGCAATCTAGTAACATATCTAAGCAGCAAACTGGTCCTTCAACACTCTGCTCAGTTGCCGCAATAGGCATCCAGCAGAATGCCCTACTGCAGCCATCCCAGGGGAAATCCCTGCCCTGCCATGCATACATACAAAATAAAATGCGAGGAAAAAAAAATGGCAGTGAAGAACTATGAGAACAGTCAGACCTTTAATTCCAAACGAGTCCAACATAATTCTGTCTGAGACAGACCTGAACTGGCCAGTCATCTTTTTACCTGATTCCTTAGCAACGCGATTATAGATGTTGAATTTCTTCACTCACCGTGTGCAAAATGAGAATGTGCGCATCATCCAGAACGTCTGCAGTCACCACCTAGAGGCAAAAGAACAGTCAAAACATACAAACAAGTCAAAATGTTTTATTCACTGCATTCATGACTTGGAAGCACAAGAAAGCACATATCACCATTATTCAAATCCCACTGATTAAACTGCACCATTTGGCACCTAGGAACAATCTGTCAAGCTAATAATCTGATAGGCAATCATCAGTGGGAAATTTTTATTGAGCTGTGGTTTTGCCCACGGCACATAAAACGAATGTAAGAGCTGAAGCCTTTGTTTGCTGTCACTCACGGTATATCCTGCTCTGGCACTGAGGTGCTCTGCAGCCACCAGTAGGGCATTGAGTGTGGCTCCTCCACTGCCGAGACGCTCCTGTGGGTCAGACACGGTGAGCAGCAGTGCTCTGGGGGACAAAACCCCACGCTGCTGCCGTATCTCCAACTCTGGAACATACAGCAGCAGTACAATAAACACATTTAGCTTTATGCTGCTTATTATTAGTCTAGGCAGCCTAATAGCCTAATAGCATGGCAACTGATAGCTTAAGAACAGGTGGAACAAGCAAAACCGTGCAGATAATTTGCTGCCATTAGGACTGCTGTAGCAGAACTTTGTGGGACCTGCCAGCAAGGCCCAGGGGGGTACCTATAACTAACATAGCTATGGTGCCTTGTACGAGATCCAGAAGCTCACTATTCATCTGTATGCAACAAGCTAAAGGTTCACGCTCCCCTTAGCGCTAGATTGGAATGGATCTTGCTTGACTGTACATTGCATGATTGTATCCATACAACTACATTTACCAGACCAAAGAGAAGAGGGAAGATGCAGTTCAAAAGCAGCGTGTGGCTTAAAGTGGAATTCCGTCTTTTTTTTTTAAATTTACGCATAAATCAATCAATGAGGAGGAAACTACGTTCAGTTCAGAGAGGCCATGACGTAGTTACAATTTTCTGGACTGTTAAGATAACAAAAGTTGTTTTTTTTTGAGATCACAACTTAATTGTCATGATATCAAGATAACAAAAGTTGTTTTCACGATATCACAACTTATTTTTCTTGTGATCTCAAGATTGTCAAGATTACCAAGTTATCTTGAGAATACAACTTTTATGATCTCAAAATAACAGTAAAGAAAATTATAACTACCACATGGCCTCTCTGGACCTCCATAGGAAACAAAGTCATTCAGAGCGTGATGTGAAATGGCTGCACACTGTTAGAAATAAAGGTTCTGTGCAGGTACAGTTTTCGTTTATTAAGGTACAAACAGTGTAAATGTTCCCTCTGAAGGTACAACAGTGGTTTTAAGGTCCAGTTGTGCCCCTTAAATAAGCTTTTCCAAGTGAAAAAGTACATATTCGTACTTTTTCATAACCTAATGTTTTAAAACAGAACAATAAAATAAAAAGCCTGGAGACGAGACGGTGTGTGTGGAGTCAATACAACTTAAAAATATCATTTCAGTGGATTAAGGTACAATTATGTTCCCTGATTAAAGGTACTGAGACGGACCCTTGAGGATACCACCCCAGTGACAGTTTTGTACCTTTTTTTCTGAGAGTGCAGAGAAACGTACCAATTCTTCTTAGCAAAGGTTGTGACAAGAACCAGGGGTTGCAGTTTGCAAATATAGCCTTTTTTTGTTTTTTATCATGCAAAATGACCAGTAAAGCTGCAATGTTATGTTGATAATGATAAAATAGTGATAAAAGTTTTCTTTGGTTACTATTTTGCCTCACAACTCCCTATATGTACGCATGAAAAAACATGCCAAAACCTTACCTCAAAACTACCATAAAGCAATGTTTCAGCAAGTAGTGTATTCATAACCATTTCATGTTATAACTTTCTGAGGGAGCTTCTGGAGAGATCTGGTTCCTATCACCACCACTGTGAACAAATCTCACACAGTATGTTTGCCTAGAATGGAGCATTTCACATCACACCACTTTGGATGTCTTTGTTTACAACTTAAGGATTTAATTACACAGGAATTTTTTAAAATGGCAGAAATTCCCCTTTAAAGTGTAATACTTGGCCTGATGTAGAAGCACATAGCGAGATTTAGTCTAAACATCTTCTACGCTCTTACTCTCCTAGAGCCACGAAATGTTGATGGAATGACATCAGTCCAGTTGGTAATAACCTGAAAAAAGGGTTATGATATCAAAAATACCCTGTGAAACTACACGTATCTGAACGACACAAACATACACAGGACGACTTCTGGTCTTCTTAGAAAGGTCTGAAATATAAAAGGCTGAAATATATAACTTTACAAAATATATCAAGTAATGTCATCTTGCTATTAAAAGACATCATTAGTGACTCGCCCAGGCTGAGGAATCACACTTGAGAAATCAAATGATACAAATAAACATAATACTTTGTGTCTATCATTCGTGGCAACTAGATAAATAAACACTTAGGCAGACATGTTTTGGCTCCAGCTACTCAACCCTCTGTAGCGTTTACCGTTATTAAAGCAGACACAGTTTATGCACTAGTCGTTGTGCTGTATTAAAGAGCTGTAGTTGGCCACAGCCACGCCGTACACAAAGACAACAGGCCCTTTTCACATTTTCACGTTTTTTTCTGCTGGAAGTACTCGCTGGAGGGTAATGCCACTTCTGCTCCAACAACAACAACAACAATGATGAGTAGAGCGTGTACTGCGTACTCAAGTGTTTGAGCTTGAAGTAAAAACAGCCTTATCTCAGTTTCAGCAGGAAAAATGGGTTTGTGCAAAGGAATAAACTTTGTCAAATGAAGGAAAAGAACCGCTGTGTCAGCATTTCACCGCTGCTGACTAACATTACACTGAATGCAGTTTGTGATTTAAAGTTGGTGCTACAGCCACTTTCAGAGGAACAGTTTTCATTTTCTCCCTCAAAAACTGTCCCACCTGAGAGAGCGAGAGCCCGGCAAGGAGTAAATGTTTGTTCACTGGAGTTGATGTTGGAGGAAAATGCAGCTCATTGGTTGTTCGCGCTCACTGACGTCAGGAAGGTACATGAGATTTTAAACTCCTCTAACTGTTCAAGAGCGCTCAAAAATACAACAGCGGTGTTAGTTAAATGTTTTATGCTGTTTAGTGTTGAGGAAATGAATGTATTCTTTTATATTTAAAATGTTTAAGCATTTACAAACTACGATTTTGCTCAAATGCTCCATCTTAACCCGTTCATTCTAGACTCGCTCGGGAGCGCCATCTAGCGTTTGAGAAACCCGGAAGACATTACGAGTGGTAACTCTCCTCTCAGCAGGTTCTCTGGCGAGACTACAACAAAACTCACTCCGCATACTTCAGCCTGAAAGACGAGGTTTAAGGTGGCTTCTTCAAATTTTCCGTTCTACCTTAAACTGTGCAAACACCAGAATTTCTAACACGAAGTTGGAGAATAAGAAGCTGAGACTCCGCTCTGCGCCGAATAGCGACTTTATCACTTCTCCTCCAGTTTAATCTCCTCTTTCATTCTTACCTCTCTGGAAGGCATAGACGCTGTCTTTGTGTTGACAAGTGAGCACCACGACAGTCCAGTCGAACAGCCCTCCGAGTGTCATAGCGACATGGACGTGTTTCGTATCGCATTCACTGACCGCGCAGGACAGACAGATCCGACTGGAGAACTGGGTTCAGTCCCAAAAGACTCCCTATTAGACTTCCTAGTGCACTATTAAGATGGCGAAGCCTTCATTTCATCACCTACGTAGTGCACTATATAGGGAGTAGGACACCATTTACGACTGAGCCTCTGAGAACGCCTGTTTTTCGGCGGCTTCCGGTCTGTACTGGGTAATGTAGTTCTACTCCGAAAAGCTTTTCGTCCGGATTAGCTTTGGGATTCCTCGATTTAGCCACTTTATTTTTAATTTGTCTGACTACAGACATTTATGTTATATTTTCTATTTTCTTTTGTAGTTTCAAAATTGTTACTCCTAGTTTAAAGGGGAATTCCACCACATTTCCAAAATTTGTTGCGATGTAAACAAAGTAATTCAAAGAGGTTTCTTGTGAAATGGTGACAATTCTGACTGAAGCGTCTCTTTTAACACTCACGTGAAGCTGTATTACACTGGGTAATCATTTATCACAAAATATTTATTAATCCTCAACTTCCTACAAGTCTAATACAAAAAAAATCACAAGACCAACTGTGTTGTCTTTTATTTAAATTTATTCTCTTTATAAAACATGACTCACATCATCCACTTTCTCTTTTATTGTTTAGACTACGATGAGATATTCTCACATAACCCAATCTAATAGAAATGACTTTGAGTTCTTTACCCAGAAGAAATACCACATCCCAAACACACACATACACACAGTATTTCTCGTCTTTTTTATATTAATATCTTTATCATGCAAGACACCCATGTTGGAGTGGGGACAGGCCTGCAGACTCATGGCATCTAGAGTAAGAGTATTTACCTCTTTTAAGCCTCCAACACAAACCGGCTAAACCGGTTCACTGCTCAGTCTAACTGAGGAAATTTTGAGAACATACTCCAATTTACACACCACACCCTAGAATAGTGGACGAGGGTATGCTCTGCAAGCACACCTTAGAGGTGGGGGTGATGGGTAGAAGAGGAATGAGTTAAAGCCCTGGAGCACTGTAGGGTTAGGTGCCTTGCTCAAAGACACAGTGGCAGTGCTCAGAGGGCAGGAGCCTTAGAGATGCTTCAGCCTGTAGCACAAAGTCACATGGCATGAACTCAGGGATGGAAAACTCCAGTTGTTAATGACCTTTCAGTAATCTGTTCCCCACTGCCTGACAGCAGACATCAATCATACATCTTCATGGACAGTAACAGAATTCATCAGGCCAGTAAACCAAAAATAAGAGATAAATGTGTAAAAAGAGGAAAAATAATACAGAACAGTGACTTGGATAAGAATGTCATCTTTTTTGCCACTAACTTACAACAAGAAAAAACAAACACACCTAGCATAATACATAAATTCAGTACATATGTAGTAAAACTTTTGCATTGAGGGCTCCAACAGCCCCGTCCTGCAAACATCTAGGTCATCAGTTTACATTCACAGTAAGATTATAATGGCATCAGCGTGTTCTACGTCACTTGAGGCAGTTCTGGACAGTTTGTACATTTCTCCTAATCTTCAAAATACACATGAACACGAAACACAAACACACACTGGCACAGCAGACTAGAGGGGAAAAACAAAATTATACAAACTTCAAAATTGTATAAGCCCCTCCCCCTCAGAACACATACAGCCTGATTCCAAATCACCTCTGCCTTTGAGATGAAAACATTTCTTTTACACAGCAGGTAGAACCCTACTTACCCTGTCACCCAGTAAGTCTTTCAAACCTTTCACCACTCAAAGTGGAAGAAAACAGTCTCACACTGGAATATATTTGACTGGTTCTCACATCGCTAGACATTTTTCTTTTTTAGATTACGCAACAACTAGCACGGTCCTGGAAACATTGGTCCACTGATTTTGCACAGCACTTTGCAGTTGTGTGATTAGCTAGAACAAAACACGCGTGTGGAATATTCTCTTACCCACTTAAAGTGAGGCTATTTAACACTCAACAAGAGCTGATGCTAGTTTGGATCACACACAGAGCACAGGTGCAAGCAGACATCATTGGCATGAATGTGTAAAAAACGTTTTAACGTTAATGGCTTATAGGAGGTGGAGGGGTCACCCTGAGCACAGGGATTGGCTGTAGTGAACTGATAGCAGATCCCCCCCTAAGAACCCCCAACTTTGGTCCAACCAGGTTGACCATCGTCCTGTGAGTTCAGAGAGACTGTACTCCTCTCTCAGTCTGTTTGCATGTGTGTACAGTACTGTGCAAAAAGGCACCTAAACAAAACGGTTTAAACACATTTATCTGGGCACTATGTATTTTTTAACTGTAAAACATGATGTAACATTAGAATAAATACAAACAATAAAGTGGTAAAAATACCAAGAATTTCCTGTTTCCAAAAAAAGTAGGTAACAAGTGTATGCAAAAGTTTGAACACCACCGCTCATATTACATGTTTTGTTATTTATTTATTTTTTTTTAAATAAAAAGTAAACACATCCTCTACAGGCAACAAATTTAAATATTTGCATATACATATATGCATACATGTAACCTTTTTTTTTGTTGTATTTTGTCCCCTAATATGTTAATTTCAGCAAATATATGGTCATTGTGTATTAAAATATACAGAAGTGTGTTCTCTGTAGAGGATGTGTAAACTACTTTCCACTTCAATCAATGAAACTTGTCATTTCACCAGGGGTGCCCAAACTTTTGCATTCAACTTCATCTTGAAGGCTAGTGTGAGGAACAAACTTTGGTTCCTAACTCCTCCCTGATGCCCTCAGCCATCATATGGATTTGTTAAATTCCATCTGATATAATTTTACGAAGCATTGTTTAACCAAGCCAGGTAAGGAGTGGTAACTACAAATAATACCAGGTTGTCAGTTTGACGCATATTGACATACATAAAATCAATACTTATTGTCTTAAAATTACTTGGATTTACTCTTAGTGTCTAAGTGAATAAACGCCCAGTTAAATAGCTTTTTAAATATAATCTTCTCAAGTGAGGCTTCTGCACAGTACTGGACATACGCATGTGTGCGAATGAAGATTCATATTAGCTAAATGTAGTTGGTGTCTACAGTCTTGTCAGTTTATCAGATTAAAAACCCCAGTGAAATAAATGCTACGCTGCTGAAGCACACACTAATCCTACTTTCTCTGGAGGATAACAACCTAACCAACATCATAAGAGTGACTTTTCTCCTGAGAGAACATTCTTCCCTGTTTAACACAAAAAAAGATCAATGTTCATGTGTGTTCCAGCATGTTAATCTGTGTAACAGCAGTACTCCAGCAAAGAGATCTTTAGAGTTAAGCCTAATGAACTACAACATGTGTAGAGGCAAATTCTACTCTAGTGTCTTATTGCATAGCAGCAAGAAGAACGAATTAAAAAAAACAACACCCTTCCTATGCCCATGGCATTGGAGTCACATTTACAAGCATGTGTGAATAGTCTGGTCAGAACGGACTATAAGGCAACCTTAGGAACAGAGCGTCCATCAAACGCACACTCCTCCTCCTCCTCCCTTCACTCCCCCTCTCACTCACTCTCTCTCACATACACCTTTTCAGAGTAGTCAGTCATGCTGTGTATGTGCAGGGGCAGCTAACAGCATATGACAGCTTAACCAATATACATGCAAAAATGATCAACGTAACAATAAGATCAAGCACATTTTTCCTGATACAAAATGCAAGACGTCTCCCCGTCATGTAGAATAAACGATTGGCACCCATCACCACCAGTCTGTGTGTGTTGAACAGCGTTGGAATGGTTCGGTCAAGGGAAGTCAGGCAGACACACACACATGCGCACATGCACGCACACACACACACACGCATTCACCCAGTGAAAAAACATTAGTTGGCGCTCGGAGTGTGTGTGTGTGTGTGTGTGTGTGTGTGTCACAGCTGCGCAGTGTTAAACCACACCCCTTTCCTCAAGACTTCCGGTGCCGTACGGTGTCCGTGTTGCCGTTCAGTTTGCTGCGGCCGGAGGCCATCACAGGATTGCTGTTGCTATTGCCAGGGGGCCTCTCCCGCTCCGCTGAATTCTCCTGTTTACGCCTTCGTGTCTCTTTGTAACGGAGTGTGATGTCACTGTAAACACAAGAGATGCTGTCATTCATTTGTATATATACACACACACGTATACACAGCACTGTGCAAAGTCACAGATCAGCTCTTCATGTAGTTTATTTCCAATCAAAATAACCAGTTATTTTATTTTTTATTGCCAGGAAAAAAGCAGAAAACATATTTTAACAGAAAATTACATTGTCTTGATATCTACATATGATTTTTTTCAGTATTTAGTCTGTCCACCCTTCACAGCTTCAATTCTTTTTGGAAGACTTTCAGTTTTTCAAGTTCAGTCTTAGAAGCTGGTTAAATGTTCTGTTTCTGATGATCAAAGTAGAAGCACATTCAGTGATGTTGAGGTCTGGACTCTGGGGTGGTCAGTCCATTGTTCTGAGAACACCAGCAGCTTCTTTGTTTGATTTGCAAATTTTCTTCTCTTTTTATCTATTTTCTTTTCTCAGTAACAGCTTCTTTACAGCATAACATCCTTTCAGACTCATAGTGAAAAGATGGACAGAAACACCCAAGGGAGTGGAACTTGATTTTCTCCTCTCTCTCAAAGATGAAAGCTTGAAAACAATAACAATAGAAGAAACCTTTTTTGTGCTATATAGATCCAAGTTTCTATACAGACCTACATAACACAGTCACCAATAATCTGAAGAACCATTTCACCATGCAAAGAACCTTTTAAGCATAAAATGGTTCTGTATAGAACTCATGGAACCCTTGAAGAACCATCTTTACGCGTGTACTGCTTATGTGACTGTTTGGTGGCCTACCAGGTCTTGCATGGTTGTTAGGAGTCCCATTTTGTCTGTTTTTTTATTATTTTGAACACTTTTGGAAACTCCTGTTTTGTCACTTTGCCCTTCTTTATGGATTAGATCATGTTTAATCTCCACAGACCCTTCTCCTTTTGCTATTTTAAATAGCTTTGCAGGGCAGCTAAAATGTGTTTGGGTAGGTGTTTATGTTAATGTTAGTTTCTGTCTGAGGGGGAACATTATGTCAGTGACTCCTTTGGGAACAGTAAATTGGCTTTAAGGTTGGAAGGATGGAAGTTCAAGTGGCAGTAGGTGCACAAAAGTAAAGAGTGGACAAATTAAATACTGACAGATTTGGTACTGTTTTTGTGTATTTTCCTGTTAAATATTTGTTTCCGACTTCTTTTCTAACACAGACAAATTAATAATTTGTAATTAATGGCTGTTTTGTCTGAAAATTAAACAAATGAAAGGGTGATCTTTGACTTTGCACAGTACTTTATAAGATCTGTAACAATCCCCCAGCCCTGTAGCCATTTCCGTCCAAGGCCTCATCGTCATGGTAACAAAGCCATGGCCATGGGGAGTAAATGGGGTTGTGCCATGTAGTGTAGGCTGGGTGGGACTTTAATTTGACTGGCTGTCAGACTCGCAAAAAGAGCGGTAGGTAGAGGGAGTGGCTACTGTTTTTTTCCCGAACAAGTGCACGACAACTGCCATTTTCACTAAGGAAAAGACATGAGACAGAGAAAGAGGAAGAAAAGGCAGAAAAACAAGAAAGGAGAGAAAAAGAAAATGAAATAAATAAATAAATAAAGGAGAGGGAGTGTAAAGATGGGAGTAGTGATCACATGCAGGAAGAGCAGCAGCCCAGTGAGAATGACAGATGATGGTGATGTCAGCACAGCAATCAGCTCTCACTCTACACCTACCTCTCTCTCACTGCACATGGACATTACCGCTGACACACACAGGGGAGAGAGAGACACTATCAGCTCAGCACACACGCCGCAGTGCACACAACAGCAGCACAGTGCACGAAAATCAAAACACACAAACAAGCGCAACACTGAAAAAGACCCATCAACTCCATACAAACACAGGGCAACTAAAGAGTGATACAAACATGTGTTTGTATGTATGTACGCATGTCTGTATGTATGTACATATGCTTGCTTACACCTTTAACATTTAACATTTCACGTACCAGGGATGCACAATGATTTCGCAATCATTTTGTTGTTGGCAGATATTTGTGTAAAAAAATTATAAAATTAAAAAAAAAAATTAAACAAATGCATGAATTAATAATAAAAATCTGCATAGAAAAACATGTTTAGATTTGATGATATTTATAAGCGATATTTCATATATTTATTGTACTTCAGAGCAGCAGAATGTTTAGGTGACGCTGGGCTACTGTGCTGATTTTATTAATTTTACTGCATTTGTGACAACAAATTGTCTACAAATAAATGGTATATTCCTCTATAATGTTAATACAAGTGGATCTATGCCAATTTTTGAAACGTTTATGTTTTAGCAGATATATACATGACAAATGTTGGATATTGTCATTGGCCCACAGTTCCCATATCGGTGCATCCCTAATTTATATACTTTGGCCAGATTCCATTTACACTTTTCGGAAAAATTCCAAAACGCATTGCCAGTTTGACCTGGTTTTACTGTACTGCTCAATAAGCACTTCAACACAAACGTAGTTTTCATTTTACTTCAAGTAACCTACTGTAAACTTGGTTTCTCACCTGTTACTATTAGTGTATTGCACATTGTAGAATGTCAGAAGAAGCCACTTAAAATAGAAGGTGGCTTCGTCTCGCAGCTGCAATTGCTTACTTACGTAATAGCACACCGATATAAAAAAAGCATTTACACCTGTGTTGAATTATTCAAAGTTTGTCTCTGACCACCTCTGAATGTGGTTAAGTGATCCGACTGTGATCCAATCACAACGCTGGGTGTGTTCACACCTGGCTTTTGATGCCATCAAATGGAATCTGAATGGGACCCAATAACCGAAATTGCATGTTGATGCAAGGTGTTAAAAGCCTTTGTGTGTGTGTATGTTGCTGTGCTTCTCTGATCATGTGCATTTAACCAGAACATCACAGGAGAGGCTGTTTTGCCTTTGTGCCTCACTTCTTTGATCACTTACCGGATGAAGAAGCGCCACAGCGTCCAGGTGAAGATGAGCAGGATGCCTAGGATCCAGCACTGTGTGACGAAGAAGGGGATTGGGAGCATAATGGTGTTGGGGTCATACTTCACCACAATCAGGAACTCTGTCACTGTGATGGCCGCCACCAGCCACGCCTGCTGACCCAGCTTCTTATGAAACTTCCTAAAACATGATTACAAATATAGTATCAGATCTTTTATGAAAAGGGCACCAGGATCATGTAGTTTATGTTTTACTCATGACTATGAGCTGACAAGCTGCCAACCCACAGACTGCATAAATATAGAGCATATGCATATTATATTTTTACAACAAACATGACTAAACAAACCGCAGGCAACATCCTTTTGCGCAGAATCTAACCCATAAACAGAAAGGACAAAGCCCAGTGACTGCCCACATAGGACAGGGATAGACAACTCTGCTAATGAAGGGCTGCAGTCCAGAACAGTTTGATGATTTTCCTGCTCCAACACACGATTTGACTAAGTTAATTACCAGGTTTAGTAGGTATGAGCAGAAAAACAACTGTACAAGACCGGCCTTCTATGGCAACAGGTGCCCACCTCTGGTGTAGAAATCATGAAAAACAGATATCTACAGGCAGACAGAAGAAAATAAATAAATCTAAAACATGTGACTAACGGGTCATCCATGAAGTCGTAGATCTCCCTCATGGCCACTCCACCCACGTTCACAAAGAAGACCAGTCGGAGCAGCACCAGGTAATGTTCTGGAGGCATCCATAACACAAACTTCAGATAGAATGTGTTCAACTCAGCCAGCAGGAACTGCAGAGAGGAATATGACAATTTAAACTATCATATAACTGATGATATAGCCTCATTACTCTTCTAAACACCTGAGACTAGCGCTGTGCATCGCTCAAAATTTTTCAATACCAACACTTTAACTTCGATATCAACTCTTGATTGATATTTTTCTGATAACGTCTTTTCAATTACAAACTGGGTGTGATTTAAACCAGAAATGTGTGAGGTGCAGGAAATGGAACACTCTTTAGTAGTGAATTAATTCAGTTGCTACCATAAAAGTATTACATTTTGATATTCAGCCCTACCTGAGATATACTGTTCTACCACATATTAATTTGGGTCAGCCCTCCAAATTATCATTAATAACATTCTAGTGTTATCTTGCCTATATCTGAGGAAATCCTCTTATATGGGGGGGAATTTCACAAGAGTCACACAGCCTTGTGCTTAAACTCTTGTGAAAGTAGCGATGGACATGAGGAAAAACAAATGAGACTGGCACAAAATTAGATTATAGTGAGGTGATCTCATTCAGTGCTCTGATATGTAACTGACTGCAGAACGTTTTTTTTTTCTCCTTTTCGTTCTTCATTTGTGTGCAAAACAGATCATGATACTGTGCAGCAGATACAACTGAAACACAATGTGCTCGTTATGGAGGAAGAGCTACTAATAGTTTATAATTTTCCTTTCTGCATTGACTGTGGCTCAAACTAAAATAGACAGAGGTGGTGGAGACCCTATATGCTACTAACAGATGTGATGTGATGGGTTTATATCTAGATTAATGATTATGAGCAAGACACCAGTTTATGGCAAACTACATCCTTTCTCGACATATACTCACCATAAATATGATGCCCAGCACTGCCAGCCACCGACGAAGGTTAGACGCTGGCCGCCACTCAAACTTTACCCAGCTGTATGGAGTGAACTGGAATGCAATGCGCTTTATCTTCCCCCTGTCAAACACAGCCAGACACCAAATCAGGTGTGAAGATATTTCAATGAGTCAGATGCATGCCATTAAAAGTATCTATCTATCTATTTATCTATCTGCACAATGATATCAGAATCATATTGGTATAGGCAGATATTTCATTAAAAATATCAGTATCAGACAGATGGTTAGATTTGACATATTTCAATCAAATATTTGATCATTTACTATGTTTACTGTACTTTGGAAGAGCAGAACGTTTAGGTGACGCTGGGCTCCTGTCCTAAAATGTTGGTATTTTATTAATTTTACTGCATTTGTAGAAATCAATTTCATATTTGCAGGTAATGCTAACATGGGTAGATGTTGTCCTATATTCAACATTTTATAAAAGTTTATGTATTGGCATCAGCAGGTATGTCCATGTCCATATATACTGGATATCAGCATCTGCCCACAGTTACATTGGCGCAATTAATATTATTTTATATATCTCATTTATTTCATGTCTATAGCTTTAAGTAACTGATTCTGACTGGGCAATATGCATTCAAAGAATTACACATTTGCATTTTTTCTGCAGGTGGAATCCATACTTCTTGTAACAACATCTGCTCCATACAGCCTGTACATGCTTTAGTGTCCAAATGGTCTGTCTGCCATGCAAAGAAAAATGGTCAAGCTCAAAATGGCTAAACAATTAGCTTTTAACTGTCTTAACAAAAAAAACACTAGCCAGCAAATTAGCAAGAATTAAACAAATAGAAAAGTAAGTTAGTACGGGATAGCTTTTTTTGATTTCTTTAAATGTCTTGTGGGTGAACTTGCAGACACCCTTTTACAGAAAGAAGAGTCAAAATTGATCCACTCAGCACTGATGGCTTCAAACGGGTGAAAAAATTGCCATGTTTAATGTGAGACCAAATATTACCTATAGGGCTTAAATCTGGACCAAAATCGTTAATAAAAACATTAGTATTTTGGCCTTTGGGACCCATGTTTTTTTGCATGGGAGTGTACATATCTGGGAAGCAGGGAGGGCGGCAGTCATTAGGAGATGCAGGGTGGTCCACTGCTTTAAGGGAGGGCAATGCCAAGACGACTCAGGTCGAACCCAAAAGCAACCAAAACATTAGAATAACAGAGTCTAGCAAAAGTCTCTGATAATTCCCAGTTGCACAAATATTGAACAAGAGACTCACTTAATGGACTTCCACAGACAAAAGGTAGTCCAAGGCCCATAAGGTCAAGCCCTATCGAAACTGAACCCACAATTATGTAGGATTTTTTTTTTTGGAAAAGAGTGGAATTCCCCTGACCTATTTCATTGAAAGGAACTGAAAGCTGAATGGTTCAACTGAGGCTGCTGCACATATGATCAAAGTCCAAGGGCAGAAAAGCTGGACTGGCTTTGCACAGACCCAAGCTTACCGGTTGGCATTCATCACAGCCACACAACACATAAAGGAGACCAGCTCATATTGTGCATACAAGGGCAAAACACAAAAAAAAACACGGCTTTAAAAGAGATTGTAGTTCCACAGTCTTCAGTAGATGAAAGGTGAGTTGGAAGAGACTCCTCCATCTATCTCCAGTGGGTGCAGTCTATAAACTCCCCAGAAAACCATTTCAAGTGTGGATAACACCTGATTCCGTGGAAACTCCCCATTTCTCTCCCATGGAAAGGGATGAAGGAGTGTTTGAACTTGTTAACTTGTATAGATGCACAAGGGGCTCAAGTAAGTTCAAGTATGTTCCTTGCATGGGACAGACAGTTTAATCTTTCCTAGTAGTGGGTGGTTTGGGCAAAAATTAATATCACGGTATAATTAAGATTACTGACTGTTTCGTTATATATCACAGTATAGTGTTTTTATGTATATATTTTTTTTCACATAAAATATTTTGGATGCTTAAGTAAACCTTTTTTGTAAATTACCAATGGTGTACTATTGTGGATGTTCTTTCACTTTTAATAAAAACCATATTTAACAACTGAAGTAAAAGCAAAAACAAATTAACAATATTTGACAGATGTCAATATTGCTTTCAAACACTAACAAGACAAAGATGACTGTACATAAAGCCAGCAACAGCTCCTCTGAGCACGGCAAAAATGGTGCTGCATGTTGTTTTGAATGTGCGGCTCTTACACTCGAGCTTTAATCCATGTCTGTCAGACGCTGCTAAGTTTTAGTAAATATTACAAGACGTCTACACGATCACTTTTAGCTGCGAAGCTGCAGAGCTTGATGTCTGTTTCTATGACAATAAACTGGCCTGTGTACGTTGTGTTGTCTGCAATTATTTACTTACTGGTGTAACAGTAATGGCAAAGCATTTCAACCAGTATACTGGATGAACAGATATAATCACCCACTATTAATCTTTCCCATCCCTGAAACACTAAAAGTGATGATGTTTTTTGACACCTGGGCCATTTCGCGTTGGTGACTGCCAAAATCAGAGGTGGAAATGAGTACACTTTGTAATGCCAAGCACAACTGTTCATTTTGGGGCAAAATACCACCAGACACTCTGGGAACATCCTGGAACACCTAACATACCATACCAAATGTACTGCAGTTTGAACAAACAAGGACACAACTGCTGGAGCAATTTTCAGGATTTGGCACACCTAAATGCACACATTAAAGCATTAAAGAACTAGAGATGTAACAATGCAATATATTGCATTGTATCAACCTGTATCACAGCATATCATATTGTATGTTGTAATGTTCTAATAAACTAAATATGGAAACATTAACATATTAACATATAGCACATATGCCCCCTATCTTTCCTGTATTTAAAAATGAATCAAATTCTGAATTCTGTGAATCGTTACACTCCTATACAACAGAGACGGCTCGTAAATAAAGCCTCAGTTCTTACTTGTATGTAGGAATGTTCCACAGGCCCTGCCACTGATACGGCTTCATAGAAAGCCAGCCGAGAGTCTTCATGCCACAGTATATGCCCAAACCGTTACACACCAGCACATCCATAATCCACTGAGAGAGAGAGAGAGAGAGAGAGAGAGAGAGAGAGAGAGAGAGAGAGAGAGAGAGAGAGAGAGAGAGAGAGAGAGAGAGAGAGAGAGAGAGAAGGGTTATAGAACAGTAGAAAACAGCTGAAACATCTGAAGAACGTTTTAGTGCTTTCCCTGCTTTAACACATGATTAAGCAGAGAGACAAAAGTGAGAAAGTAAGACTCACATGGTCCCACCAGCACTCTGAGAAGTTTGGAAGCTGGTGCTCCAGACTGTACTCCAAAAACTCAAACATTACACTAATGATCATACACATCCACCAGTCTCTGATCATCAATGTCTGTGAGAGTGAGAGAGAGAGAGAAAAAGAGAGAGAGAGAGACACATACACAAGCACAATAAGTACTGAAATACTGAAATTTATTTTGATAGCCCATTGTAAATGGTGTGTAGAGACTTGCTTTGCTTTAACTTACAATTAACTAATTATCTGTTAAATTCATGTTAATTTTCACTTTCTAAATTCTAATCCTGACCATAATTATAACCCTGGACTGACTCATAACCCTAACACTATTGAGAGCACTGTTTCTCCAGATAGTTTGTAAAAGGGCTCATATCTCACATTTATTTTGTATTTTACAACATATGTGATTTTAAGCACCAAAAATGGTAAACATTCTTTTTTACATAACCATTTTCTGACCTTTGTTCATTTCTTACAATTAAACAGGTTGCTTTTGTTACTGTGCCTTTAAGACTGATGTAAGATAAATGGTCCCTGTATTGTGTCTCATTCAAAAAGCACAAAAAGCTGAAACACTCTCTTTAAAGGGGACCTATTATGCTCATTTTCAGCGTTTCATAATTTTATTTATGAGTCTATTGTAATTGGTTTACATGCTTCGATGTTCCAAAAGCACATTATTTCTCTCATACTGTACATCTCTATTCACCCTCTGTCCGAAACTCTCTGATAGAGCTCCTGTGTCTTTAAGCCCCGCCTCCCGATGAGCCCAGTGTGCTTTGATTCGTCAACTCGGCCAATCTGTTCCGAATGACTGACCAGCGGGCTTCTGCCGCTGTGGCTATTCTTACAATAGCATCGGTTCTGCTATTTCAGTTCAAGCCAGAGTCTGATCCTGAAAGTCAGGTAGAAAAAGCTGATAGATCCAATCCACCTTCGCAAGTTAGACTCGAGCAAGATGTTTCAGAATGGTTTTTACTTCATAGCTCTCTTGTGTGAGGGTCTGTCAAGCTTGCCTGTATGCAGGCATAAAGGATCGTGTGGGCTGGAGGACTGTAATTTCAACAAGGCATTTCAGGCAGCTGAGAAAAGTGGTTTCTGTGGGAGAGTTATTTCCTCTAGCAAGTACTTTGGTCATTGTGACTTTGCAGACCGTTTACATGCACAACAAGCTATATAACACTAAAGGAATGGGACAAAAAGAAAAACGACAATAGGTCCCCTTTAACTTCACTATGAATGGGTGGGGCTAAACTGCTGCAGGCTGAATAGGTGGATATATGTAAATAAGTTGAGTCTTGTGACGTCACAGAAATAGTGAATTCAAAATGGGCTGTTTTTGCAGCTTAGTTTCCAGATATGAACTGTTTGGACAATATTTATATATTAACATTACAAGGGAAATTCAATTGTCCATGCTAATGTACAGGGGGTTACCCAAATAAAGTGAACAGAAAAATACTACATTTCATGTACTACCATGAGAGTATGCTGTGGCCCTTCTAAATACTTTCTTATTTACTTTTAAATAAGATTTACTTTTAAATTTACTTTCACTTTCAGTACTTTTAAACCCCCTGAACCTCATGAGACACAACTTACTAAACTACCCAGAACTTACTACTACATAGGAATACTGTGTGTGTGTGTGTGTGTGTGTGTGTGTGTGTGTGTGTGCAGGGTGGGAAACACATTTAGAAACACAGTTCACTTTAATCAGGTTACTATATTTGCGTTTACAGTGCCATGTTTGAAAGCTCTCATAGGCCATTCAAGCCTTAAACTTTGCATTAAGCTTAAGAGAGTTTGACTCAACTTTTAAATTAAAAAAGGCACAACAAATATTAAAAATGGGATGGAAAGTAATTCAGATAAGGAGTTCATTATAATGACTTCTTCGCCATGAATCATAGTGAAAGTTTGATAGAGCCACATCCAACAGACATTTTGGAAGGCTCAAGCTCTGGCATTTCTGGTCTGACAAAATGCTTCACTTCCCCTCCAGTGCTTTGCATTTAAAACATTTTCTGTTAAAATAAGCCAGTCAAACGTCTGTTGTGATGTGCCTTATAGAACAATCATTTCAAACAGCACTTGCCAGCAGATGGTGTTCTTACATAGTGTGTACAGATTCTGGCAAATGCTTCAAAGACAAATCTGAACAAACGATCACTTTGTAAAGATCTCATGTAATGTTAGCTAGCTCAGAAGCTATAATGCTGCTGCTATTTTTTTTCATGATGGTTTTAGACTCTGAAGTGAAAATGTGCATTTTGCTTAACTTTACATATGATTCTGGGCAACCTGCAGACATTTGTGTGAGAGACCATAGCATTTCAGAGTCTGACAGACATGTTACCATGCTAATAACAGTCTTTTATTTAGATCTAGCAGGAAAGCTAGCTTAATCTGTTTGCATGAATTGATGACATAGGAGTAGATCCACCATGTCAGAATAATGAAATGATCAAATCCATAGAGAATGCAGATTTATCTACTACTGCTCCTTCACCACAGGGTGAAATTAGCGCAGCACAGTGCCTCAAACACCATTACTATCATAAGAGCCCTGTATATTTTCACTGTTTAAATAAGGTAACATTATATTTACATAAACAATTAGTGAACATTCTACTTTTAATATTACTATAAGTAGTAGTAATAATAACAATAATAACAACAACAACAACAACAACAATAATTAGTTATTATTATTAGGAGTAGTAGCAGTAAAAAAAATGTGTGACAATTTGCCATCCCATGCAGTTAATGGTGATCCAGCAAAACTAGGCTTGCCTAGTCTTGTGTTTCTATGGATTTATGTATACACAATATTAGATACTTTATCAGCTCACCTTCTCTTGAATTCACAGTAACCTCTAGAGGAACAATACACTAAAGATTGGCTAAGTACACTGGAGACTCATGTGAGGCAACAAATACCGTTTCACCTTGGAGCAGAACCCCAACTCAAAACACAACAGCAATTAAAGAGAAGCTCACTGACCTTAATGTACCAGCCAAGAAAATGAGCAGGAACAAAGCCATCCATCTTGTCCTGCAACAAAACAACAACAACTTAGCACAATGGACCACTTGTGTACATATGTGCATATCAGTGTGTGTTTGTGAGGGTGATTTATACCCAGATGTTGTGGAAGGGGTCAGTGGTGTTTCCGGGATCATAGATGAGACAGTTTCCTCCATAGTCTCTCTCTGGCAGAGGAACACCGAGCTTCGGGTCAATGTACTTCATAAATAATCGCCCATCCTGCACAGTCTGCAACGTATCACATACCAAATGTATTATAATAGGCACATTATGACATATCACAAGCACAAGTTATGAAGGCTGTATGATAAGAATAAAACACCTTCTTATTACAATTATGTCACTACATATTGTGATTGCAGTATGTCTTGCAATGTATGCAAGAAGCACTGGTGAACTCTTGACCTGGTTCATTTACAAACAAAGGCCTTAAGGCATCAAAATACCTACAGTATCTGGAACACCTGAAATTTGTTCAGGATGCTCACTTTCTATGCTTATTAATACTTTTTAAGACTTCAAAAATAAATGTTAATAACATTTCTACTGCAAAACAATTCACACAAACTCAAATATAGCATGTATTTATGTGTATTTTATTCAAGGTCTATTTCCTAGACAGGTTCCCTAGTCTTGAACTACAGAGCATTCTGAATGAAGATTCTCAATTCAAAGCAAAATGTTGTAGCTTAATTAACTATCCAGGAAACATGGCCTAAACGTAACTGGCGGAAAGTAAAACATGGATATACGATTTGAGTTATATGCGTAACAGGTCAGTCAGTTACTAGCCCTCTAATCAATTTCCCTGTTTCTTTCAGTGTATTTGTTTTTTTTAACAGTTCTGTTGTCCTCTTGCCCTTTATCAATTGTTAATTTTGGACCACAGGACCACTGCCTGCTGGAATTCTTTTGGTTGGTGGACTGTTTTAAATGAGTTTAATATACACAATGGCTTGTCAGCCCAGTCTTTGGGCATCATTTTTTGACATTTTAGGATCTTTTCGTAAAATTAAAAACCTATTTTAAGACCTTCTAAGAACTCTGTTATAGCATGACATTATTGAATAGTTTTGGACATCGTATACGATTTGAACGTTGTGTGCAAACAAGTGTCTTTAAACCTACTTGGAAAAGGATGAAGATGAGAAAGAGCTCGTAAACAACACTGACACAGAGCCAGAAGCGCCAATACGCTGGAAAAATGAGAGAAGGCACACATTATCAACCTATAAACAATCCTACTCACGTTTACTCATTGGAGTAACAAACACAAAGACACTTATATAAACTAATCACTCATTACTTAGGGACACATACACTTTTCTAAAGGTGTCATGAATAAGTAAGTGGCTGCACACAAATGCAGAAAACTACTCTCAAACAATGCATTTCTTCATATTTACAGGATTATGAATCCTTATTTGCACTAAAGATGCAGGTACTTAAAACAGAAAAACCCCAAATGCGCACTGCCTACTGAGATTATACTATGTATGTTTTGCTTTATGCCATACTCTAATAATCCCTTTTCTCTAAGGATGAATATCTGTCTCCTCTTTCCTCCTGAGTTGGTCTTTCCTCCCAGGCTGCTCTGTTGCCATGTTACTTGTTTCAGCTCAAATAAAGTAAGCACTTATTTTGGCCCCAGGGGCCCACAGTTTCACTCTTCACCCACCACCCCCAGGAGCTCCCTGGCAGGAAAAAACGACATCTTAGTGAAGCCCATGGGCTATACTGGATCTCCTTAGTCATGTTAATACTGGGAACAGGTACTTTAAGCACCCTCCCTCATTCCCCGTTAGCCCAGTAAAAACAAAGGGGCTGATCAGAAAACAGATGCATCACCCTGGAATAACTAGTCCTTCAAGAATTTCAAATAACATGTATTAAGTTAGAGGACGTGCAGTGTGGCAGCAGAACAGACTTGTCCGACGGGCTAAGTTAGTCAGTCTGTTTCAAAGTAATTCTCACTGACGTTAATGAGATAACGTATGATTTAGAGCACTAAACAATAAGGCATTGAACACAGCAAAACAGCATTAAAAGAACACAAATTTACATCGTAGCAACTTAGCAATCAGCAGTAATCAGATCCGCCAGCGGAAACAGCTCCGGCTATCTGGCTATGTAAAAATCACCATCAGTGTCCACAGTGCAACGTAAATTTCTCAACAATGTAAACATCACATTGGATGATAAAGAGGTTAACAGAGTAACAGAAGCTCTATTGTATGCGGGAAGCACTCAGAAACAATGACAAACCTCTATGAAAATGTGGGGAATTTTAGCAATGTCTCAGCATGGCTCCCTCTCTGCCATGTCACTCTCAACCCCAGCCTCCCTCCCTCCCACTTCAGAGATTCTCTTCCTTTCAACAAGGAAACGTGTGCAAATGGCCCAGTTGCTGTAGTTAACCACCTTCTCAAATTAATTTGGGTGAAACAGCAGTATTTATAGCATAATAGTCTAGAGGCAGGTCTATATTTGTGTGTGCTGGGTCTTATTGATTCCAGTGCCTGTTACGAAAGCTCTGAAAGCTCCAGTCTGTCTGTACATCTGCTCCCACAGCACAACCATTAGGCTCAACTGAAACTGCAACTTCTATAGCACATAAACCTAGAACAGATGCTCTGTAAGAGTAAAGGTTGTCAAAAGTGGTCTTAGCTGTCTTGCACAGCTCTCACCTGGATGTGGTCGTGAGAAAGGACCATCTTTGGCTTGTGTTACTCCAAAGCACAGGAACACCAGAATACTCGCCACAATCCCTCTGAAACACAAATATACATTCACATAGACACGTGTAATATCTGCATATGTACCCTAAGGGATATACAATGAAACTGCATTAATGGGCAATCTATGTGTTCCACATAAAGTAAGATAAACATCCCTCCTGTTATTTTGAGATCATGTGGTATTTGAGGTTAATAGCAATGAGGTTTTTTCTACTATTTTTACTATCTAGATCTAGAGTACACAATAAGAATTCTTTCTCATTTTCCTCATGACTTATTATCAGTCTTCTCCTAACTCTAAGGTCTAGAAACTGTATAGCATACAGAACTTTTTCTATGCATTCTGATCCCATTTTTTCTATAAACAGATAAAGTTACCCCCACGCTATAGCTAAACAGAGTTTAACAATACAACGTCCCACCAAGGCCTGTCACAGTTAATACATAATCGCCTGACTGCAGTTATTTGAGCTGATCGCAATTGTGTTCCACAGTTGTTAACTTTCATAATTATATGTTTGCTTCGTAACTAAGAAAATGTGATATGGGTGCATTTTTTTCATAAGTTGGGTTGAGGCAAAACACGCTTACAGAGACAACACAAGGGTCTCACAAAAACAACAGAAGTTTTAACTTCTGTCGAGTGCAATATGATAGAGCTTGGCGATACAGCAAAAATGTAATAGCACAATATTTCATAATATACAATATGTAACAATATTTATTTTTTCTAATTTTTAAAAATACTATCAAAACTATGACTCCAATGATTTGCATTCAAAAATGTATATACTGCGTTGCTGCACATGCCACTAAACAGGACAAACATGCAGTTGAGTGTTTTTAAGTCCCAACTGTATCAACAATATGCTCATAAACATGCTGTGATGTAATTTGTCACGATAATGATAAATACTGTCATACTGTCCAGCCCTACTGACCAGCCAATTCGGGCACTTTAGGCTTGTACCTTAATATTAATAATAAAATATATTTTAATAAGGAACGATGAACAAAAAATACTTCTATAATTGTTAAGCCTTATTTTTATATGGTAATTAATCATCAGCTAAAATCTCATTATCGGGACAGGCCTAGTTCCACCGCTACAGATGCTATCACATGAGGCTGGTCTGATAGCACACTCCTCTAAACTCTGTAATCTATAGCAGACGTTGACTACAGATAATCCTTTTAAGCGGCAGCCACTTTCTGATGAGAACACCCGACCCCGCCCAGTCCCACACGCTCACCCTATTTCCAGCCACTCCACTTGCAGCTCCGCCTATAGTAAAGGGCAGCATTCAGCAAACAACGTGGAGGGTAACAACGTGGAGAGCGCAAGTGACTGTCTCATGTGCTGTATTCTGCTATCTAATGTTCAGAGAAGAGCATTTAGTATAATCAGGCTGATGCAACTATGTCCTCCAGGTCAGGGTCAGGCTGACATCACGACGAGTTTGGGTTTACACAATTATGCCCTCTAACAGAGTCAGTGTTTACACACACACACACACACACACACACACGCACGCGCGCACACGCACACACACACGCACACGCACACGCACACGTGCACACACGCACACGCGCACACGCGCACACGCACACACGCACACACGCGCACACACACACACGCACACTTTGTTTCGTGATGTAAACCGTGTCCTGGTGAAACACACAAACTTACCTCTTAGTGTTGTAGGCTGTGTCTTGAGGCGTCTCCTCTAGCAGGGTCACATAGACCAAAGCACACGTCAGTATGAACAACACAGTCAGGGTATGTGCTCTCCTGCACAGAGAAGAAGAGAGACACAGAGACAGATTGTTGACTTTGCTGTGATTTGCGGAAATCTCATCTTTGATTATTTTATTGTAGTGCAGAGCTGCAGTTTTAATCTGCTATAGTGCAGTACAGTGTGCAGAGAGAAGGGCTGTAAACCTCACCTATTCACACTCTCTGCACAGGTGTACTGCCTGGATGTCACAACAGTGGCACCGGACCAAGCTGTTTTTCTCACCTCACAACCTGTTAGGTTGGTCAGGGCCTTAGAAGCACTGACTGACTGACTGACTCACATACAGTGCAAGCCTTGTTGTTTTCACACATCCCACAGACAAGGATGTTTCACAAACTTACTGGTACAGTCATAAGAAAAGCATGCCTTTCCGACATTCCTGTAAGTTATTTTGCCACTTTAGCATGACATTGCTTTAAAAGCCCTGTATACAAACTGACTCTGACAGTTTATAGCATGTTCATGATTACTCTGGCCTCATTCCCTGCCCCCCACTTTCTACGCTACATCTGTCCAGCTTAAAGTCTTTAATGGATCTGAGCTTGCTCTTTCTGCTGAGGAGACAGGATAGTAGAAAAGCTAAAGCAAAGCCGGCACGCTCTAATGCTCCCAGAGGCAGACCTTGGATACTCCGCCGGCTTACGGCCTCCCATCTACTCCCTTACATTAGCCTCCCACTCCTCCCATCACAGGACTGTAAGAGGAAATTCAGCCCAGGATATTGCGCTCGGTGTAAGGCTCAATAAATACCGGCCTTCAGATATATACTAGTATTTCGTTCGTTCAGAACCACATTATAAATGATTCTTGCATAAAACACCAGCCAGATTTCTGTAAATAGTGACGGAGGAAAAGAGCTGCTGACCTGCAGATTTGACCTGCGCTCTGTGAACTCAGACTGACTGTGAATTCCAACAGGTTTAAGACCGTAACTGCAAAATTTACCCACAGGAACAACAGTCATATGGAATTGGCGGTGTTTTAATAACAAGGTTATCATATCGTTATTATTTAGCTAACGTAATACTGTTACACTTCTGGGGGTCTCAGCAGTCAGTAATACAGGGGCTATGTCCTGGGGACCTCAAACTATTCACATTTCTGTGCTTTCCCCTCATCGACTCATTACAGAAGCCGGGTCAGGCGTGTAAGTTCAGGAAACCACAGAAATGAACCAACAGTTTCTCTCTCACCGCCTCGGAGTAGCATCCCTAACGTTACCTCCTGTCTGCTGTTCCCGCGCTGATGGAGCAGACAGACCGAGCTCAGACAGAGCCCTACTAACGTTAACCTACCAGAAGAACGTGTTGGTGCCGTCGTCGTACACTTCGCTCTCGGTGCTCCGGCGGCTCGTGGCCTCTCGTGTGCCCGAGGCTTTGGCAGCCCTGACGGCGGGCAGAGGCAGCTCGGCCGCGCCGTTCACCTGCTCGTCTGCGCCGGATTTACCGGCGACCAGCAGCGCCGCGCCGCTCCGCTTCGACTCCGCTTTGGCCATGGCGCTCAAACCGAAACACCGCTCTCCTCTGTTTTAACCGCCTCAGCCCCCCGGCGGAGCCGAGAGCCCACCACAGCCGAGCTACAGATCAATCTCAGCCCAGTCTGACAGAGGTGTTAACGAATCACCAGACTGACTGACTGACAGGAGGAGCCGAAACGATGTCGCTGAAGCTAAAACACCACACACACACACACACACACACACAAATGAACCGACAGCTCGGTGTTCTAAACCGAGAAGTGATCAGCTACCGATATTGTGAATGTCTGACTAACGGAGGTCAGAGCTCAGATGTGAAGCAGCGTCAGCCGCCGCTCACAGTCCGAGAGCCGCTGGAGCTGAACTCTCACTCCTCCTCTCCCTCTCAGTGTCTCTCTCCCCCGCTCTCTGTCTTTCTCCCCCTAAAGGTTACAGCAGGACCCTCACTAGCCGCTCCCTGATGCTGTAACGTACAGCTGCCGTAGTGTTGGGACACACACCGAGTCTCGGATCTGGGTTTACACTCCACACTCCACATTCACTCCCTCACTCACTCACTCACTCACTCCACCCGGCAGCAGCACGCGTGCCTTTGATTTCTGGGAAAAAAAAACATGCATATACACACCGAGGTCGCGCGGCTTAACGTCACTTCCCCTAATGCATAACAGCAGGGAGAGTTAAAGCAGAGCAGAGTGCGCTACAATAACGCAGAGTGAGCGCAGACACCGCACGAGGGAGAACGGATTCGCGCGGAAAACCGCTTCAGCCTTTAAATCCACGAAGTCTCGATATCAGAAAATTCGAGTAAAAGCCTGAATTCTGACGGACATGTCAAAGCAGAGCAGTATGAATTACAGTTTAGCGTGTAAATGTCTCACTAGTAAGAACGCACGGCCCTTTCTAATTCGTGTCAATGACAGGAACCTATTTTAGCAGTATGAATCAGATTTTAACACGTGGTAATTTTTTCCATGTACAAATGTTATATTCTGACACTTTGGAAATTAAAGTACCTAAATTATTTACAATAGTAGCCTAAAAATTGAACTGACGTCAGTATTTTTTACCTGTCAAATTTTCTTCTAGAACTAGTAACATTTTTGAGGATTTTTTGTATTACAGGATAAAATGGCTTTACATAGCAATATAGCTCTTAAGACTTGCAGTGGACAGTTGTGAGAAAACCTTGCTAATCATTTTGGATTATCTGCATGAATGTGTTTAAAATGTAACTAAGCTTTGTCGAAGTCATGATAAATAAACACTGCTAGAAAAACCAACGTGACCGGTCACCAGCAAAACCAGCACATTGTACCTTCCAAAGAAAAACATTTCTTCCTCCATTTTAATGTTTTTTTTTTTTTTCATTTTTAAAAATGTATTTATTTTGTTTTCCACATCATTTAAACGCGGCAGCTGTCCCTTACATTGTGTGAAAAGTTTATGATGATTGGACCAAATCATGGGATAAAATTCTCATTACATTAACTTATATTTAGAGTAAAGAACGTTTTTGCTTCCTTCTGTAAAATTTCCAACTTGGTTTCTTCTGGACAGCGACGACATGTTGTGTTTTGGACGCTGGTTTATCAGCATCCAAAAACACTACATATGCTGGTTTTGCTGGTCAGCAGCGATGGAAGTTAATTTGCTGCTGACCAGCAAAACCAGCATATGTTGTGTTTTTGGATGCTGATAAACCAGCACTAGACCAGCATAAACCTACATAGACCAGCATGGATTGCATGCTATTGCAGGTCACATTTTCGTTAGGGAAGACAATCTAATTAAAAAAAAACAACACACAATACCTTTCCATATCTTCACTGAACAATAATATGACACATTGCTCACTACACAACCACTTCAGTCAATTTGTAGTTTTGGGACGTCTTCCTCAAACAGCTTGCTTCAGATCACACACTTTTTCAGTGAGATTAGGACAGACTGGCCTTTCTGAAATATGGACGTTCTTTGGTTTGAGCCACTCTTTCCCTGATTTACTCCTGTCATGTTCCATGACCCCCCCCCCTCTTTTGAGATTTTAGCTCTTAGACAGATGTTCTGATATTCTGTTGTACAGTCTGCTGATACAACATGAAACACAGTGGTCCCTCAATGACTGCAACTCATCCAAAGCCCTGAGGCAGCAAACTAGCTCCACCAAGCTTTACAGCTGGGGTGAGGTTGTTGTTAGTATGCAGTGTAGTATAAATAACACTCTGTACATTTACCAGAAAGTTCAACTTTTGTGTCATCTGTCCACAGAACGTCGTTTGAGTGGTGCTGTGGAACAGTTGTAATATGAGGGTTCTTTATCACTTGTTTGAGGATTGTACAACAAGCACTTGAACCTATCTTAGTAACCCACACACACCATCTTCCTATACTACTGAATTTCTTTCATTTGTGAACTCTAAGCCTGAGTCATTGGACGCCTGAGTAATCCTTTCCAGAATAATGAGACTTTTACAGTTTTTCTTCTGTGGTGTTCTGAAATGGAGTAATTCCACATTCACATCATGAGTTGTCTGCTGTAATGAACCTTATTTATTTATCATTTAGCCTCTTATGCTCGGGGGTATATTTTGTTTTTTTCATCTGAATTTACGTGCCCAAATCGTAAGCAAATTATTAATAAACTGCATGAAATAAATGTAATTTTTGTTCCCCTCAAATTAACAGAAAATGTGTTTTATGATCATACACATATTGCTATATGCTTACAATTTACTGCTGAAAGCCAAAAATCTCTGTATTTTTTACAAAAATAATTTCTACAGAGTATATCACTGAAGAGACATGTTCTGAGATCCAGTTTATAGCTCAGATTTGTGGAAAAATGGGTCAATTTTCAGTAGAAAAAAAAAGAGTTCAGCTTCTTTTATTATAAAGTTTTGAAATTACATTACCCATCTATTTGACTGGAAAGAAGACAGTTACAGCTCTCATATGACACCCACCTTTTGAATGAAGCTTATAAAATATGAAAGTTATGAAGTAAAGAATATGACAAAGCATTTTGACAAAGCAAGGAGTTAAAAAGGTTAGAGGACTATTCAAAGTAGAATATTCAAAGTAGAATATTCAAAGTAGAATTATTATTAACTGTACAATTCTTATATATTGAAATTCACTGTTTTCTTCTTCTTCAAAAAAAAGAACACAGTCAACTTGTCATTGAAAAATGTTTCTACTATTAAAAACAAACAGGCACAGAACTGGATTATTAGTTGTAATTGAATATTTGAATTGAAAATATATATAGGTTTAAACTATGACTGCCTGCGGTGGAACATACAGAATGTACTTGTTTCACTTCTTAGAATATGTCGATGTTATATGAACAAGGGTAAGTGGGTTTGCACCTGTGTGCTTTGTGCCTTCCTGAGCCATATTGCCAAACAATTTCCAGGGCACAGGTGCACGTACACACTCCATCAAGACAGCTTCTAACAATCTTGAATTAATTAGTGATCTTCTGAGTAAGGTGGCTGCCTACAAGCAAACTGAGCCCAAAGAGTGCATAAGTAGCCACATATTCATTTATAGTCACTTTGCAGAGGAAAGAAATATTCTAAATGAGATCTCCTCTTGACTTCAGGTACAACCCCATTTCCAAAAAAACTGAGACAAAAATGTAGCTGTTCAAAACGTAAATAAAAACAGAATGCAATGATGTGCAAATCATTGAAGCCCAGTACTTATTTGAAAATAGTACAAAGACAACAAATCAAATGTTAAAACTGAGAAACTTGTTTGTTGTTGTTGTTTTTTGAAAAATATATGCCCATTTTGAATAAACATATGACCATTTTTGTGTAATGCTAAAAAAATAATCTTATAACTAATTAGGTTAATTGGCAACAGATGTAACATGGTTGGGTATAAAAAGAACATCCCAAAGAGGCTGAGTCTTTAAGGAGTAAAGATGGGGCAGGTTCACCACTCTGTGCAAAAATGCGTGGGCAAACAATTCAAGAATAATGTTTCTCAACAAAAAATAGCAAAGAACTTGGGGATTTCACAATTTACGCTGCAGAATATCATTAAAAGATTCAGAGAATCTGTAGAAATCTCTGTATGCAAAGACCAAGGCCAAAAACCAATATAGAATGGCTGTGATCTCCAGGCCCTCAGGCAGCACTGCATTAAGACGGACATGATTCTGTAGCGGAAATCACTGCATGGACTTCTGAAAACCACTGTCTGTGAACACAGTTCATCAATGCATGTACAAATGCAAGTTAAAACTCTACCATGCAAAGAAGACATCATATATCCAGACAACAGTATCCAGAAATGCTGCCACCTTCTCTAGGCCTGACCTAATTAAAGATGATATACCGTGGAAAAGTGTCCCGTGGTCTGAATAATCAAAATTTGAAATTCTTTGTGGAGATCATGGAAGCTGCATCCTCCAGGTTAAAGAGGAGAGGAACCATCCAGCTTGTTTTCAGTTCAAAAGCCAGCATAGATGCTGTGATGGGGGTGATCTATGATGGGGGTGCATTAGTGCACATGGCATGGGTGACGTGCACATCTGTGAAGGCACCATTAATGCTGAACAATATATATAGGTTTTGGAGCAACATATGCTGCCATCCAGATGACATCTTTTTCAGGGGAGGCCTTGCTTATTTCAGCAAGACAATGTCAAACTGCATTCTGCACACATTACAACAGCATGTCTCCATAGTAAAAGAGTCCGGATGCTAAACTGGCCTGCAAGTCCAGACTTGTCACTCATTGAAAATATCGGGCACATAATAAAACAAAAAATACGACAAAGGGGACCCCGAACTTTTGAGTAGCTGAAATACTATATGAAGCAAGAATGGAAAAAATTTCAAAACTACACCGATTGGTCTCCACAGTTCCCAAACGCTTATGTGGTGTTGTTAAAAGAAAAGGTGATACAACACGGCGGTAGACATGCCCCTGTCCCCGTGTTGCTGGCATCAAGTTCAAATGGGCACATATTTTTCAAAAAAACAGTTTCAACCTTTGGTATGTGTAAGAAAAGTGTAAGATCTCATCGTTTTCTTATACAGCTCTGTTCTATATTACAGAACTCTTTCAGCACTTCATCAGTGCAGAAGCAGAGCTCACGTATTTCTCCTTTATCACCAGAACTTCTCATAGTGAAATGCTGATGTTGATCTCCTCTTTTCTCCTAAGAAGGTTTAGAAGAAAAAATTCAGAAATCAGTGAACCTTCGTTAATATAATCTGCTTTATTTCTCTGAGACAATCTTAAGAAAGATTTTTTTCCTCTGGGTTATCAGTCACTTTTAATCTGTAGATGACGATAGAGTATTACTTTCAAAGTCAGTCTGAAGCACTGCAGATAACCATCACCATATGTAACTTTTTACTGCTGGTCTTAAAACGGTGTCTAGCTACTGGATTTCATTTCTCTGGTTGAGTGCAAGGTTTCAAAAACACTGATATATCTGATACCACAGCACCACGTTCTCTGCTCTGCTGGCCAAGCCCTGTGAACTCAGCCCTAGCACTGCTGCCATCTAGTGGTTTTCTGACGCGTTACTGGTGCGCGCCACAGGTTTTGCTTGAATACACAAAATTAAGTACAAACATTTCCCCTTAGAAGTACATTTTTGAAGCCTTTTTAACCTTCTATTTAAATCCACATGATTTGATCTGACCTGAAAGAATTCCGCCTGGGCCCTGTTTTCAGACAGTTCTTGGTTTAGATAGGTTACATTTGAAAAACCCTAAAATAAGAGAACTAAAAAGTCAAGAACTGACTGTCATCCTGTTGATAGGCTAACTATGAACTACACAGATAACTAGGAGCACCAATATTCCTGTGAAGAAGTTACAGCAATCTTTTACAGTGTCATTACCAGCTTTGTTGTGGTTCTGACTGCATGACCACAAAAGACAGTAACAGACAATAGGCTGTGTCCCAAACTGAACGCAATTTACATTCCTGAAATTGGTAACACTTTATTTGGATGCTCCACTGTAGATGCTCAGTGTATCTTTAACTAACATCCATTCAAATTGCTGACCATTCCAATAAAGTGAGACCCTGAAATTAATAGGAAAGTTAATTCTGCTTGAAACTCGTCGTATTAGCAGCTACCCATTATTAGACTCGTGTTACCAACCTGTTATGTTATATCCTGCCACGTCTTTCAACGATTTAACAAGAGGCCTTTTTCCTGCATCTGCAAATTGCCTGTAGAGGGCGATCTTGTTAAGGCTTTTAGTCTCTACTACCAGACACCAGTAGGTCAGGACAGGGTGCATCAAACCCACCCACTGAACAGTTGCTGTAGCTCATGAAGCTCCACATTAAAGCCCCCAGATGTGTTTTTGAGCTCACTTTGACACATTTGGGAAATCTGCTATCATATGATAGGCTACACCAACACAAAGGTTCGTTCAACCTAACGTCCTGGTGGTGTTTAGTAGTCAGTAATGTGTTCTGTGTTTTCCTGATGGGTTGATATAACAGTGTAATAAAACTTAATGGTTTAACAGGTGGTCTGAAACTGATTATAGATGCATCTGATGGTCTCCTAACGGGATCTAAAGGTGTCCTACGGGTAAGTAGGTCCCAAATGGTAGACATTAAGTCAATTCTCATTAGAAAGCAAAATCATTGGGTTCTAATCCTAATAGTTCTAATGGTGGAGAAGTCTTTTAATAGGCCCTCACATCAGTAAAAACATATTCAAACTCGAGATACATTAATTAGACCTATAACGCTGAAACACTTCTACTGTAAATAGGTCAGCTGAAGTGTTCAGTTCTGTGAGCCGTTTGATAAGCCTGTAGTCCTCTCCTCTCGGGTTTGGCGTGGAGAAAATGAACGTGCTTTGCTTTAAACCGTTACTGAGTCCTGCTGAACACTATCGATTGCGCTGTTGTGTCCAGCCGGTTGTAAACTCGGCCTGGGGTCGAGGGGGGATGGGCCGAGTAAAATGTAGTCGCTTGCAGCGCTGCTCAACAATTCAGCAGCTTCAAACGGCCCTCCAAACCCCCCACCACCTAAAACACAAATCACGAGTCTCTCACTCCTTGGCGCCATCCCAAAGGAGCTGTAGGCCAATGAGAGCGCGGCGGGGGCGGGGCTCTACCCGAAGGGGAGGGTCCTTGTGGAGCTACACGTACCTGCAGAGCCGAGGGGACTTTAAATCACAATCCTTCAGTGCTGCACAGTAACGGCTAACTTTGTGCGCGTGGTGGGGTTTGAGATTCGCTCCTAGACCGTGAACACGTTTCTGGTCCCTCTGGGGCTCGTATATCAGCTTTTCTCTCGGTTTTGACTCTGAAACGCCGCGATGTCCACGGTTCAGTTTTCCAGCAGCAGCCGCAGTGTTTTGGGGACACTGGCCTCCTCCTCCTCCTCCAGGAGCTCCCCTCTGATCCGCAGGGACACGCCGCCGCCGCACGCCAGAGTCTGCCGAAGCCTTTTCGGACCGGTGGACCACGAAGAGCTGAACCGCGAGATGAAGGAGAAGCTCCGTGAGATCGCCGAGCGCGACCAGAGGAGGTGGAACTTCAACTTCGGCACCGGAGTGCCGCTGCTCGGGGAGTACGAGTGGGAGGAAACGCCTGGAGAAACCTCGCCCGCTTTCTACCAGGAGTGCGTGCGAGTGGGCAAGAGGAGCAGGGCTGAGAGGGCGAGCCAGACACCCGCAAAACGGCCCAGAGAAGAAGAGGAGGACTCTGACTCTAACAGAAGAGAGAGTGAGAGCTTTAGGGAGCTCCGCGCTGATCTACCAGAGAGAACAGCCCCGGAGAAGAAGAGCTCAGGCAGCAGCAGCCCCTCAGGAAGACTGACCTGCAGGGGCGTCCTGAGGAAAAGACCCTCCTCAGCGCTGAACGCGACCCTCATTACAGGTAGGACTGGAGACTGAGTCCATAAATAACAACACTAAAGTTATACCGCAGCTTAAAGTAGCTGAACTAAAACACATTTCTCTGTTTTTTCCAGACTTTTATGTAAAGCGAAGGAACAGCGGCGGAGCGACGCGCTGCGAAAGTATCAGCCGAAAGTCCCTCCCTCCGGCCGCGGAGGAGCAAACGCCCCGAAAACGGATCAGATGAAGGTGTGTAGGGGGGAAATGTGTGGACTTTACGGTTTTCTGTTGTTTTTTCTCTTGTTTTGGGGCGTCTAGTGGTGTTTTGTCGTTGTCATGTGTGAACTGGAGCGCCGCTGTTTATCTGAGCGGAGTGACTCGCTCGCGGCGCCATGGCGACCGGCTAGGTGTGGTGGGAGCTGATAGGGGGAGGGGAGCGCGCGCGTCACTGTGGCGGGAAACTCCGCAGGAGCGGTGAGGGAGGGCTGTGATTTTTGCTCCAGCGGTCACTCCGCGCTACAGCAGGCTGAGATTGAGCTCCACTGTTGACTGTGTACACCCGCGCTGACCGAGGACCCGCTACCCTTCTGTTTTACAGGTCTCTGCAGAGCTGCTGTTCGGGAGAAAGAGGGGACTTCTCTGCCCTCCGTAGCCGGAAAATCCAGAGGACGTTGAGTGAATGAAGGAAGGAGCTTCTTCGCGTGACAAGCCAAATATGAGTCAGCCTCAGGACTGTTACAGTGAAGTCCATCGGTCCCCGCGTGAGAAACTGCGGAAGAAATGTAGCAAAACTGTGGTTCTTTAATAGGATTGTTACAGACAGTGAAATCAGTGGTCTGTGTGACTAACCACCTAACCCACACCTGTAGCTCAGGTTCGTTTGTTGTAGGCCACACTGTGTCCTTTGGCCTGCTGGTTTCCACACTGTGTTCATAATGGTGATATCACCCAGGTGTGTTTAATTTGATGTCCTTGAGGTTTTTCTGCAGGGAGCCTGAGCGTTGAAATGTGAAATTCTTGAGTTGGTTTTCTACTTACACGTAACTGAATGTAATCCAGCCATTTTTTACAGTTAAAAACCCCCCACAAGAGCATCAAAGAGTGTTTCTTGAAGGAATGTTAACAGAAGTGTGTCCTGCTGTTCAAGCGTGACCATCTTGTTTGTAGTTCTCTGTTCAGATTAATTTCATTTTTAATATTCAACTGCAAATTTCTTAAAACCGGTTGACCAAGTCCTTGTAGGGGGTCTTTATTAGTTAACAATTGCGTATGTACAGCCCAGAGAGAACACGACAACTTTCTCACAAGATCTGAAGGTAAAACTGCTTGAACAAAGCTTATTTCACTTCGACCGAGGCTAGTTATCTACATTGGTGAAACAAGTAAAGCTTTAAAAAAAGAGAGAGACAGAGACAGAAGGCCTTTGGGCCAACCGTTTGTTGTTTTTGTAAATATGCACAATATATTGTAAAGAACGTTTTAACTTAATTTATTTATGTTTCCATGTCTCTTGTTTAATTTTTCTTTGTGTTTGCAATCAGAATTGTAGCCTAGCTTTTCGATGTAGCATTCACCCTGAAAACAGGGTCCATCATGCTTCTGAGCCATTTTGTCGCTGTTGTCAACTATGTTTCACAAATAAATTTTGTAAGATAACATATGAATACATGATGCCTCCTGCAGTTATTTCCCATGAAAATACCTTTAACTTGGAAGAAAAGAGATTTGACTATATTGTTATTCTAGCTGTTCTATGCCTTGGAAGTCACTATTTCATTAGATTTAGAGCTGATACTTGTATTAATGACCAAGGAGATATAATGCAAAGCAATTACTTTCAAGTATCTACACAGAAAAAAACAATGCATACATGTTTTTAGGCTTGTTGACCTCTATCACTGAGTACGAATATGCAAAATAATCTGAAAGGTACTGACGTATACATACCTGCAGGCAGTTTGACTGTAATAAGAAACTGACTTGTTACTGTCCTAGCTAATCACTTGCCTTTCCCAGTGACCCACATTATAGTCTACTGTCACTGTAATAGGAGTGCATTTAGTGCGAACAAAATGAGTCCATCCATAGTCATTGTTATATACTTAATCAGGGATTTGTCAAAAGAGCATTTTCTGCAGGTGATCTACACTTATGGTGTGCTCAGCGTTCATTTGAGCTTGCCATAAGACTGAAGTTCTACATTATGAAACAGTGGGCAAATGTTAAAGATTTAATGTGTGCCCAGTTTGTATGGCTTACTGAGCAGAATGCCACATTCACAGTATTTTGATGTAGTCCACCAAAACTCTTATCATGTATGTATTGTTTTCCAGCCCTTTGGGCCAGCTGACTGGTAGCATTTCTTTCATACACAGAGCCTTGGTTACATCCAGAACCTGTGAAACAAGTGCTGGAATGTACACTTGGAACTGCAAGTTACAAAGCTCCATTTCACATGTTGTTTGAAAAAGATGTCTCTACAATGAGCAGAATGCTCTCCATGTTTCAAATGAGGTGATGTTATCTAATCTCATGCCACTTGATCCCCATGACTTCATCATATGAAGTTAATGCTTTGTATAGGACTTCCTTACAGGCATTCTGACCCAAAAAGGAAGAGCACAGTAGTATTTCATCTATACTATTTGTTGTATAGACAGGTGATCCGGTCTTAACCAGTTTATGCAATGCAAACAAGTTCAAGCAGGACAAAATCATTGTAAATTGATAGAGTGGGCTCTGTCTCAGTTTACTGAATCTGAGACAGAGTTGATATACATTGCTGCATAGATTACTATTACAATTCTCCAGAAATGAGTCCTAACCTGCAGTCTGCAGCACCCAGGTGTTTGAAAGAACACTCTCATAAAGTAGCAATAAAGTAACAACCAAGAAAGTCTAGATTTAAACCTTGCTACAGTATTTTCACTGTCTGGGTTGCTGATAATAATTCTAGTAACTATGTCATTTATTATGAATATGATTATTAACACCCAAGTGCAGGTTAAAAAAGCAGAACACATTGTAAAAGAATGTGAACTGAGCAAACATGAGACACTGGCTCTGTTCCAAATAGCCTATAAACATGTATAGGGGATATTCAAGCACTATGTACTATAGAAAAGAGCTTTTTTCATGAGACAGTGGTGTAGGGTGTGTTAAAGAGTAACTTACATAAGCCAGCTCTGTTATTCACCATGTTCTTTATTCACAGTGACTGTTTAATTGATCAAACAGGACTATAGAAGCATGGGTCTGCCCCAAATAGCTTCTGCTAAGTGGAAATTTGGCCCTAGGTCAAATCTATTTGATGACCCCGGCCTACTATATACTGCTTATATACTGATTGTGCCCAGAAGTTGTAAGTATGCAAAGATACCCAGATGATATCTACTCGAATATCAAAATTACAGTATGCAGATAGTGATCTCTGTGATATACTGCATCCCATAATGCAACTTATTTCAGAAAGATGTAACCACCTGGTGATCATTTAATATGGTACACAGTACCTGATGTTAATTGTCACCTCCTGGATACTATACACAGTATACTATGTATGAGGAGTATACAGTATATCGCTGTTGTCAGAACAAAATTCATATCTCCAAAATGCCAACTTTACAGGAGAAGGAAAAAACATACTTTATTTTAATGTAAGTCAACAGAACCAGACGTTAGTATTCAAGTATTTTGTAAAATTCTGTTAGTCCATTCATCATGAAATTTACACACAGTGTAAATGAAAAGCTGAAAAATGACAAAGATGGAGATGCAAGCTTTTGTTCTGACAACAACGATATGGTGGTACAGTATATACAATAAGCACTATGCCATTTCAAACGTTATCCCTTCTTGGTAGATTCACCAGCAACACAAAACTGTGATAATGCCTCAAACGATGCCAGGCCAAACCCTAAATGACAAACACCTTTGAGGTTTATGTATGATGATGTGTTGGAAAAGCCCCTGTTGTTCTGTACTCTCAAAAATAAAGGTGCCAAAAATAAAGTCTTTTTATGTGATGCTATAGAAGAACCACTGTTGGTTCCATAAAAAACCTTTCAATGTATCATTCTTCAGAGAACCATTTTTATAGATGTGACACGTGAATGTGAAGAAACTTTTTTAGGCTTATAGAACCTCCATATACTGTAAAGTTTCTAGGAAGAGCCCTTAAATTGTTGTAGAACCTTTGTGTTATGCATAGATCCTTTAAACCTCCAAAAGGTTCTTAACACTCACAAATCTCTTACTCAAACAAGTGTTTTTTCTTTGGCATTGCTCACAAAACCCCTTGTGGCAATTTTCTTCTTTTTAAGTGAAAGAGCAATTCAGTGTGATTCATCTGACTTGATGTTTCACTTTTTTACTAAATTGTCTTCCTCATATTCCCACTCAAGCCACAAGTTCTCCTGATATAAATAAAATTAATGGAATGCAAATGAAATTCAGGCAGAGTTTTTGTGCCTGTTTCCTGCTCTGACTTCCTTAAACATGTCCTTAACTATTATGCACATGTTAATGAAGCTGGGAATGGGTCTTTCCGTTGAACACATACACTTCAGTCTCACCATCTTCTGCTGAATAGACAAAAGAGGGCTTTTTTTTTTGGAGTGATGCCATAGAAGAACCACTTTGGTTTCCCTAAGGAAACTTTGAGTAGATGTTTTTTTTAAGACCCATTTCTGTAAATGCACAAGTGTGAAGAACCTTCCTAAAGCTTAATGATCCACCATGTAATGTAAAGGTTCAAGATCAACTAATCAACTAAAGGTCTTTCCTAGAACTGTGAGCCAATAACCATTTAGGACCTTTTATGTTTTAGAGTGTAGAATTGCCTCTAAGGACATGATCTTTGTTTTTCCTCTATCCTTTTTTCTCTTCCCACCCTCAGTGCAGAGCACCTCTACCATCAGCAGGTCACATGATGCAGATTTCCAAAGACATCTGTAAGATGAGAGCAGTGGGGACTCGTCTCCCCTCTAGCTCTGCCACACAAAGCCCTGACCACAGCCACACAGAGCGGGGCTTTTGCAGTGTGTGTCACCACGGGTCTGCAATAAAGCAGGTAAAGCAGGCATGCTCCTGTCCATGGGGAGCTCTGTTGTCCCCGCGTTTCCTGTTCACTGCAGACAAAGCAGACAGGATGAAACCAGGCCAGCTAAACAGTGTCACTTACACCTGTCCATGACATCATCACAATGGGATGATGAAACTGATGCTACTTCCCTTCTATTTGGGTTGCATGAACAAAAGAGTAAAGAACGTTGCTCCTGCCCGCCTTTACCTGTGTAATACCATGAAGTTTGGCAGCGCTAAATGGAAAAAATGATATTTTATGTATGTGGTTTGGCTCAAGCCAAAATTCATTGCTTTTGCACAAGCCAGAGGCGTAGCTAGGAATTCTAGGAACAGAAAGAATATTGCTCTGCTGCTGCCTGTTACATAAATGTATGTAATTAGGCTATATTGTAAATGATTTGGTGACGCTTGACAGGAAGCATTCATGGCATATTCATAAACAGTACAGTAACAATGCCTTTACAATTACATAACCATTTAAACATTTATTAAACACATTCACTAATGTGTAATGGACATATAATCTAATGAACTGAAAACACACTCAGTGATGCTCCGTGTACTTCATTACATGTTCAAAAAATACACCCTATGATACTGTGCACATGGTAAGCCTACTCAAGAGATATCCAAATTCACATTCACTATTGCTCAAAGTGTTTATGGTCATTAAGCTTTTTTGACTGATATGAAATATAGCAAATTGCAGTACCCACTCAAACATGAAACGTTCCTACAGCAATATTACAGTGCAATTGCATTATCACACAAGATGATCACCTTATGAAATATTACTGAATACCTTATGAAACATACAAGCAGTTTCATATAAAATTAAGACATGTGAAATGTTACTAACTACAACTTAAATGTTATTAAGAGACAAATATTAAATATTAAATAGGTATCTTATGAATGCCATGTACCATAAATCATACTTGTTCAGTGCATTTTAATGTATCCATGATCATATCATGACATTTACACTACACATCACTAAAATCTGTTTTCAGTTCATTCAGTTCAGTTCATATTATATTGTTAGTTATTCATTAATGATTGTATTTAATGAATGTTTTAGATTTTCATTATGTACTTCCTGTAAAGTGTTACCAACTATTTATTTGTGAATTAATCCCTCAGCTTTGGTAAGAGGTGGTTTTTCACTGTGTTTCTTGTTTTTTTCCTCCAAGTCACAGTCTTCTGCAAATGATTAACAGCATGGTGAAATACTGAAATATTGCAATATCATATTTGCTGTCATATATCCTGTCTAAGTGATGTTAAGTTAGCTTTTCAGAATAGAAAAATACTCTAGATTTTAAGGCAGTGGACACCAACCCTGCAACCTTCCTGAGAAGTTCACTTGCAAATAGTGAACAGTTTTTTTAGGGGAATGTAACAGCGAATGGTCATGATAACATTAATATACATTTCTTTCTTTTGTATCATGTGTGAGATGGGTGTTTGACCCCCAACTGTAATGGCAGGCATCTGTAATACTGATAAACCTTCTTAGTAAAGAATAAGTGACACTTTATTTTGAGTGCTCTTTTTTAGATGAAATAAACAC